AATGAAAAAAACGGTGAATTTCTAAAAAGTGATTCGCAAATCACTTCAACTCCAGCAAAACCTTCAGCTTTCTCAGAGTCTACTTTAAGTCTCTCACCAGTCAACCTTACACTTGAATCATCAAACCACTCATCTAAAAACGATGAGAAAACAGGATCTAAAATCAACGACTCTGGCGTTGGATCAAGTATCGGCTCTACGTCTATTATTTCAACCTCAACAGAGGCAGTGGTGACTTCTAATCACGTGATTGTGGATAATGAAAAAATCCGAGAAGAAACAAAGGCCTCCAAGAGAAAATGTTCTGATATATCAGATTCTGAAATCAAGAAAATCAAGAAAGTTTACAGCGGTGGAGAATTGAATCAAGATAAAAGTTCTTCCACTCACACGGAAACAGAAAAAGAAAAAGGAAATGGAAAGGCACCTTCTCAAGCAACTGTGACAAATATTGCCTCTGTTATTCCCCCAGAGACTCTTGCCTTCTTGAGCAATCCAGCCAATCAATTGTTGTTACAAAATCTATTTGCTTCTGCAGCCAATCAACCCAAATCTTCATAAAACAAATTTGATATTTTGACAACCACTGAAGTGAAAAATCCAAAAAAAAATCAAAATCTACAAAAGTAAGAAAAAATTTCAACATTTAAAAGCACAAAAAAATTAATTTCTCATCTAATTATTTTCATCTGTTACATTTCTAACCAATAGTAGTTAGCCAAATTAATTTTTTTCCAATTCAATCAATTTTTCTAATCCAATTAACATTCCCCTTTTTGTTGGTACAAAAAAAAATCTGTAACTCTTTTGATCTCAGTTGATCAAAGTTAACCATTTACTGTCTAGATAATTGTTCCATTTATAATAAAAAGCTAAGGCTTTCAAATTTCCCAGCATTAATTCAATTGTGTCTCTTAGTCTAACTTTAATTGATCAAAAAGTTTTCATCATGAGTACTCAAAATAGTCAAAGATCTTCGATAACAAAAAAATGTTCAAAGTTCTCAAGTGTTCGTAAAAAGTCAACTGCTTCTGCAAAAGATCTTAATATTTTCGGCAAATTTAAAAAACACAACATCAGTTCATCTAAAGAAAACAACGCTACAAATCTAGTTACAGTGATCGCATCAGCAAGTGAATCCAGAGGAAGTTCTAAAAAAGTGCAAAACCCAACGACAACTATTGAGGAGACTGATAAGAGTCAAAGTACTCTTTTGGAAAAACGAGCCGATGATCAAAGCTCTTCGATCCTTACTCAACCACTGAAAGACGGTATCCTTTTCGCTGTTGTTCTTCCTTACATTTTGGACGAAGACAAAGGAGTAATCAAGCAGCCTCTTGTCGTCAAGTTGAATGAGTCTAATCTATTGGATTTCGGATTTCAACTTCCATTTTCTAAGTTCACTGATAAAAGCTGAATTGCTTCAAGATCAAGATCGGAGTCACCAGTTTTATTCTCAGATAATAGCAACCGGAGGTGAGTCCATGTTTCTTTAACAATTCAAAATTAATGATTATTAATAACAATACTTATCTCGTTTCTCTAGATTCACCTCTGAACTTGAAAGTTAGTTTAAATGAAAATACGACATCCAATAAATGCTGGCAAAAACTTCCAAAGATCAAAAGGTTATCGAAAGGAGTAACAAAACTCATTCATTGTCCTCTTGATTCTGAAAACGATGTGCCATCGCAACGCGTATTAACAAGTCTTCAGATCAAAAAGTTATTGGAATCTGATGAGATAATTGACAAAGCTCACCTTAAGGATAAACCAGATCAAAGAAATGATCAGCCAAACTCGCAAAGATCGAGCAAGCCATTGAGCAACAGTTTTCTAACTGATAGTGAATATGAAAGTGACCAAAGCTCAGATCATCTTGAAACAAAGACAAAAGATCACAAGAAAAGCTTAAAGATCAATAACTCCAACGAAAATGGTGTTGCCAAAGATGATGAGAGCTCAGAGAATAGAGCAAAAAAACGTAAAGTTGATAACGTTTGTCTAGATAAATCAGTTGCCGATGTATCAATAGAGAGTATCAATGATCAAGTTACTGATTTATTGAAACGAAAAAAGAATCTCTGAATATGATACAATCGGATCATTTCTAATATCAATAATCAATGTTATAGATGAAATGAGAAAATATATTGATCATAATAATCAGAGTGACTCTGAAATATCAAATGTTGTTCCGGAAAGAGATTGTACTTACAAGAGCAGTAACAAGGTAATTATCCAGTAAATAACAAAAGGCAAGTTATAACTCTTTGATTTATATTCTAGAATCAAATATATGTTGAAGGTGTCATACGGTTTGATTTGGATCTTTATGATGAAGCTATCAGAAATTCAACTCCTTCTTTAGCGCCATCTTTCGCTTATCAACTTGTGAAGATAGCGTTCCCTAAAATTACTATGAGAATGTTACTCTAGGTAAAAGTTCTTAGATAAAAAAGATTTGGAAGGATATTTAACAATCGATAAATCTAAAAAATTCAAATACCCATTGAGCTTCATTTGGGGTTTTGAAAAGCCTTTTACAGCCCGAATGGAAGGAGATTTCAATTATAAACTGGGTCAAGAAAGAGTAAGAGCATTTATGAGTAAGTTTCATGATCCAAAATCAATTAAATTTATCAAATTAACAAGCCGTTTCTATCATTAGATCATGTATTTCGCAAAGCCAAAATTTATAAGTACTCTGCAGCTGCAGAATACAAAGTGAGATCTCGGATGGTCAAAGAACTTTGTGCTAGAAACGCTGAATTGACAAGAAAATCTATTATCGATGATAATGACGACGACAATAATATCGATGATGATGGATCAAGATACATTTCGAAGAAGACAAAGAAACAACTTCCTATAACAAAGATAAAGATTCAATAGATCCCAATTTATCTGATCAAGAAAATTCACAGGACTCTTCTCATAGTACTTGGAACTCAGAATGTTTTGATTTTTGATTTAATTCTATAACTTCTTAAAGATCGTTCATCAAAAATCTATTTTTTGCTATTAAATTCGATATTTTTTCTTTGAATTAAAGTTCGCTTATATTATTTGATGATAGACCAAGATTCGAGCTTTTAAACTTCAAATATAGTTGATTCAAGATAAATTATTGAAGATACAAAATCTCTAATCAATTTATCTAAATAAATATTCATTCTGCGTTCATTGATATTTTATCGTTGATAATTTGATTAATCAATCGAAATATTTTGATCAAATATAATAGAAAGTTTTTCTTCCGTTAGTGATAAAATTTTGATCTACATTCTTGGATTCAAAATCAATAGATCCGATATAACAGAATATTTAAATCTCTTTCTTGATTTACATTCGACTGTATTTTGATTCAATTTTGATTCAATTTTGAGTCAATTTCGATTCAATTTTCATTCAAAATTTGAATCAAAAATTTATCAAAATTGACTCATGAGCGCTCAAAATAGAGTCAATCGGGCTCAAAAAATTTTGAATCAACGACGAATCAATGTGGCCAGGGTGGCTCGATTTCTGACTCGTCATTGACTCTTATATGTTGATTGGGATTCTGAGGCTCAGTTTCTTGTTCCCTTTTCTTGTTTACCTTCATTATTTCATCATCTTCATAATATTATATTATTTTTTTCCCATGGAAAGAGAAACAAAACTTTTAAATCTATTTTTCTTGTAACTTTCTCCTCGAATGAGGTTGAAAAATGAAGACCAAATCAAAAGTAACTGTAAAAAAAGTGAAAATCTTGTTGACAGAACTTTTTTATTTTCTCTTTTTGGTAACAAACTTTTCTTTCTCATCAATTTTACCGTTATCTTTATCCTAACAACCCTCGTAAATGTAATATCGATATCGATAAAAATCTAATGTGAACTCTGGGATAGTTGCAATGATAAGTAAACAATAATCATTTCAGTTCAATATACAGGGTGGAGAGAGATGAGTTTAGGTGTATATGTAAAGGGATTTTTTATCGAATATGAAATTAAAAAAATTCTGATATTTATTGTTCCATGATAATCATTGGTTACAATGAAAACCCCCTGAACTTGTTTCATAGTTTCACATTAGTTGAATTTGATTGTAAATAAATTTATCTTTAATTCAGTTGAGAATTGAGTTCATAAAATTGTTGCAATGTAATTTCATTGGCATAGAAGATGAAAAAAATATCACCATGAAAATTGCGAGATTTTCAGGGAACAAAATGAATTTTTTTCTTTCTTTTTTCCACTCAGCATTTTTTAAAAATTCCGAGAAAGGTTCTGATATTTACACCATGTTTCATGACAATAAGTTGAATACATCGTCATATTATTTTGAAATATAATGTTGATTAGATTGATGAACAAAAAAAGAGAAAAAAAATTCAATGTTTCCATTATCATGAATCGTTCATTTTGATCCTTGATTATTTCAGAATTACATGTTGTTTCATGATAACTATAATTCTTGCAATGAACACAAAAACCCCTCCAGTTATTTGATATCTAAATCACTTCTGGAAGAATATAAAATTGTCACTATAAGAGCTAATTCACATGGAGAAAGAAAAAAGGTATCAAGGGTATTCAGGGTATTCTGTCAGTTCCCTCAAGAGTTTTCATTTTGCTGCACCTTTTACTTAAATCTCAAGTAACTGATTGATGCTGATGATGAAATTTACCTGATGATGAACATAAGGTTGTTACCTTTCATCTCGCTTGTTGTATTTACCTTTAATTTCAATTTCAAGTCATGAAAAAGTCAATATTATGTAACAAGTACTCCTAGTAACATTTACAGTTGATGAGTTCCCAGATTCAAAACAGTTGAAATCTCATTCTCACTTTGACCTCATGGGACTCATTTGGACCTAAGTTTACACATGAAATCATCATGAATCTTCATGTTTCTGTTCAAGATTTTCCTTCTTCTTCTGGATAATTTAAAAAAGTTCAGTTTTCAAAGGTCACTAATTTTATCTCTCTCTCTCTCTCTCTCTCTCTAGCATCATCAACATCCACCGCCTCAACACTTTCACCGCCATCACCTTATCCAGTTATCGTATTCATCCATGGAGAATCTTATGAATACAATTCAGGCTCTGCTTATGATGGATCAATATTAGCCTCATTTGGTGATACAATTGTTATAACAATTAACTTTCGTCTTGGAGTATTAGGTAAACTATCATTATAAACCTTTCTCCTTTGCTTTTTTGCTTCTTACAATTTTCAAAAATTTAATTGCAAATGGAAAAGTTTTTCTTAATTTAGTTGTTATATTTGTGGTTTTCTTTTCATTGGGATTACTAAATTGTTTGCGATAAGTTGTTTTCTATTTTCTATTATTGGTGGCAAAAGACAATTCAATTACAATCACAAGAAAATTAATTCTGATCACATCCTTAGTCTAAAGTATTAAATGATAATCATAATCATAATCATAATACAAGCTACACACACACACACACGAAATAATTGAAACATGAATTGAATGTTAACCAAAAGGATAATAAAAAAAAACTTGAAAAGATTTTCTAATAACCAGAACTATGGGAATTTGAAAGTGTTACGATTAATTGAATTTTCGGCTGTTTTAATTTTCTCTTTTCGAAAAGGTTTCTTCCCATCTCTCGATGGGACAACGAGAGGTAACTTTGGACTATTGGACCAAGTCGCCGCTCTTCATTGGATCCAAGAAAATATTGAATCGTTTGGTGGCTCACCAAATAACGTAACGATCATGGGCCATGATTATGGAGCCTCTTTTGTTAATCTACTCATGATTTCACCGATGGCCAAAGGTAAGTTCAGTGTTATGGTCATTAAATAGCTGATTGATTTGTTCAAATACTTTTTTTCTGTTAATTATCTTGGGTGAAAATGATTCTATCGTTATAATTTAGCTAACTGTCAATTCTAATTATGTTATCTGAGATTCTCGGATTAATCATTAAGATTATTATCATGATGGTTATTAAATTGTTGAGCTGTAATTTGATTTTAGCTGAAATCATTTGCAATCATGAGAAATTGATTGTAACAATTAAGCTCTGGTAATGATTTTGTTGATATTATTATTATTTTCTTGCTGGTTTCCTTTTTAATCATAGAAAATACTGTTGAGTGTCAATTTTGATTACAAATTAATTAACTTTCATTGGTAATGAATTTCAGATGAACGCAATAAAACTATTCCAAGCAAAGTTTCACCTCGAATTTGTAACTAGAACTTTTTTTTTCTATTCATTTTCGTTCTCATTACCAAATATCTCATTTAGATAATCATTACTACCACTTTAATTAGTACGATATGTATATTAATTGTTCATTTGTCATTAAGTTAATTAACCATGATTCAATATTACATACATATATTGTTAATGAGAATCATTAGCTGGTAACAATTAGCCAAGAACAACAATCAAAGTTAATAATAAAAGTAAATTATTATACCTGAAGACAATTGAGAATTGACTTAGCAAATTGATCAAATAAAATTAAATGAAATCAATGCAACAATTAAAACAATTATCGGAAAATTACAAAAATCTATTGACGTTGAGAAACAAAAAGTTACGAGAAACTTTTTCTTTTGTTTCTCAATCGATACTTAATTTGAACATTTTCTTGTTTGAATATTTGAAAACAATTAAGGTAAAGATGAGATTGGAAAATTTAATATATTAATATGTTGATCGTGATTATGAAAAAATTGTTACATCATCATGATATTATCATGATAACATTGAAATTTTGCTCATGCAAGTGTGAAGAAAAATTTTTGTCTAATATCTAAGCTATTTACCTTTCAAGAGGTAAATATATATATTGTTATTAGATTAATATCATTTTATTACCCAGATTATTATCATGATTATAATCATCATTAACTAATTAAAATTCTTGATTCATGAAAAAAAAAACAATTGAACAAAATTTTCCATGAAAAAGTAATATATTAATAACTATGCTAATATAATGGTTACATGATGATGAAGAAAAGTTCCTGGGATGGAAAAGATTAGTTAACATTTTCTGAATTCCAGTCTGTGGGTTGTATTCTTGTTTCATGATAATATCATGATTATGGTTCTGAGTTTGATGTTATATGGAAATTATTAATTTTCCAATTTCTCTCTCTCTCTTTTTCTCTTTCAAAAGGACTTTTCCAGCGAGCTATAATGTCCAGTGGTTCAGCTCTTTCTCCCTTTTCCATGGCTACTGATTCATTAAGATATAGTAAGCTACTCAGTGAACGGGTTGGGTGTCCAGTTGACCATACTAGTGCCAAGAATACCTTGATGCTCAATTGTTTGAGGAAAAAAAGTCTCGATGAGATAATGTCGATTACATTTGATGCACCCAAACATTTGACCATTTTTGGTCCAACCGTTGATGGGACTGTTATTCCAGCTGATCCATTGCTCATGATGACTGATGATACATCTCTTTTTGGGAGCTACGAGCTTTTGACTGGTGTCACTCGAGTTGAATATTATCATTCTTTTAATGATCATGATGTTCATCATGGGATTGAACCTTCGAGAAGAGATCGAATCATTAGAACTTTAGTTCGTAATCAATATGATTATCATCTTCAGGTAAGAATAACAAATTTCTGTGCAGTTTATCATGTTTCTTGGAACCCGATCTTGAAAACGAAATGTTTGAAATCAAATTAATTCCTTTTCTCGACCTCAACTTGGTAGCTCGTTAATCTGTTCGTTTTTTACAATCAAATTGTGCGAATGCGTTCAAATCAAAATTCGTTCTCATTCAAGTCGTTCTTGTTTTCCAATTGACACAATTAGCAAAACAATTGTAATAGGAATCAAATCAGGGAGTGATTAGTGAAAATCTGAAGAAAACTCATAAAAATCTCTTGGCAAGAAACTCTGACGATGGTCAAATGAATGTACGGATCGGTCAGACTTATTGAGATAATAAGTAATTATCACTGAAAGTTAAATGATAATAAAAAAATAATCATCATAAGTGGTAATAAGTTTTTTTTCCAAGTTGAATGAACTTAATGTTGGTGTAATTGTGAAAATCCTTGGATAAGTATAATGAGGTGTGAGGATGAGGATGGAGATGATGAGGAATGATGATAACTTCAATTCCCAACTCGGTTAAGCCACAAAATTAGTGGAAAGATAAAAGGAAATCATTTCCTTATATCTTTATGAAGGTGACAAAGATTCTGATAGATGAGAGAATGTAATTTACAAAGGGAATAGAATTGTTTCCAAATTTCGAATATTCTGAGAACGAAAAACTATTTTTTTTTGTTCTTTTCTATTAATATTATTAATTGGTATAATTAATATCATAACTAGAGAATCAATTGTGATTTATTTAATTCATTTCTGTCTGTTTACCCTTGAGAAAGAATGAGAGAATGAGAGATAAAGAGGAAGTGAGGATAAAATGAATTCCCTGTTACCATTATCATGATGATTCAGTTTCACTGTTTATCAGACAGTTTATCAATGAATTATGAACTTGATTGAGTTCTGATTCCAAGGTTATATATGCATTCAGAGGGAGTAATTGTTATTCTGATCTTCATCGTACTCCAAGATAAGTTTCATCAAGATTTTCATGATAACAAAGATAATAAGTATTTTATCATTGTTGTTATCGTAATGATGATGATAAGTTATATAATTTTCATCTTTAATATTATTAATATAAATGGATGATAAATATGAGAGAGAAGAAGAAAAAAAATTCTTTTTTCATCTTCATCTTCATTTTCATGATATTGATCTTCATCTCTCTGTATTTTCCTAGTTGGTTTATTTCAATGACATTGATTCATGGCTACATTTCTGAGTCAATCTGAGATAAATATAAGTAGTCAGAGTAATGATTATATTACTGGACAATGGTCAGTTTTGTTGAGTTGATAGTTTTATCATCTGGTATGTACACAAAATACATCTAGTGGATGGTCAGGGAATCATATTGACCATGACTGGTCCAATTTAGATATAATAAAGAGAGAGAGAGAGATGGATGAAGAAGATGAAAAATTTAAGTAATCCTGAAGTAACATCATGTTTTTGATTGAATTTACCATGAAAATAAATTGATGCTAACAAACAAATGAATAGATAATGAGTCTATTGACCCATTGGTCATTTTCAGCTTGAAGCCTTCAGGGGAGAGATAAATAGAGAGAAATTCTGAGAAAAAAAAGAAGCAAAAGAGAAAATAAAGTTTAATAATAATGATCATTATCATGAAGGGTAACTGAATTTACTCTGAATTCATCAAGTAAATTCAATTTCAACAGGTAACTTTTTATGATCACATCATTTGCTTTCATTTTGCATTTTACAAAATTTCACTAACATAAAATTACCATGAAAATTTGCTCGTTTTTCTCATGAACTTTTCAGATTCTATCCCATATAATACATGAGAGTTAAATGGCAATGAAATTGGTGATCACTTTTTTTTTGTTTCATTGGATAGAAGAAAAAAAAAGTTCTATTATGGATATTGAAGATTCTGAGAATGATAGAAACATATTAAATATATGATGGTGGTGGTAGTGGATATGAAGGTAACAGAATATAAGTTATCCATTTCAATTCATGACATGAGCTTCAGATGATATAATATTTATTTGAGTTCATTTTGACATGAAAATTGAGTTACATTCAATTGACTTGTTCAGAAAAAAGGATATCTCTTTATTCATTCAACTTGCCACCTCTCCCTTTCCACCACCCACTTCTGAAATGTTCAATTCAGAACTGTTATTTACCTTTATCATGGACTTTCATTGAAATTCACTTTTTGTTTCATATTCTGTTAAAGTTCATCAAGTGCCGCTAATTTGTTGAGATTTTCTTGTATTCCATTTACTGGTGGATTTGTTGTTGAACTTTTCTGATTTTCTTTACCCTGTATCTCCTGACTGGTTGGGAATGATTTTGATGATAACTATTGGCTTGAGTTCATTTATCATTTATTGAATTATTGTAATTATATTGGGGCAACTTTCATCATAATGATTAATCATGATGATAAGAGATATAAGGAAGAGGAGTAAAAATTATCGTCAGAATCATGATCAGAACAAATTATGAGAAAGTGAAATAAATCATGATGATGATAATTTCTTATTCTTATGTTTATTTTCTGGTTGACCCTTTGGATTCATGTGAATTCCATATGAAAAGAAAATTTTTATCAGAACTTTTTTCTCTCTCTCTCTTCTGAGCAATTTACACAGAATTTTAGAATCTTGTTTTCACAGAGCATTTCAAATGAACTTTTCACCAATAAATAACCAGAATCTTCGTGAAAGAAGTGATAAAACCAAAGGGAATGAAATTGCCTGGATGTTTATCAAATAAGGTTGGAAAAAAGTTCCATCATGTAAGAATAAAGAAGAGATTTTTCAAAAGGTGATAACAATAATTCTGATCAACTCATTGACGATTCAAACTATTATCACCAAAGAATTGATCTTATTCACTCCCCTGGTTGTCCAATGGTCAATTTGTACGATCAAATTTTTTTTATATTCGATTTTCCTTCTTCATGATAACATTGAATTCATGTTGTTCAATGAAAATGGAATAACTTTTTTTTCCTCTTTCAGAATAAAATCATCGTATTAATTGTAATTGTTATCATTGAGTGTTGAAGCAAATTTATTATCAACTCAATTCTTATCATGTAATGACCATGAACAGTAATAGGAAAAGCTTAACCAAGGATTAAGGTGGTTTCTTATATTTTTCAGGTCAGTTCTTGTTCTCGATTCTGTTCCCTGATTCGAGCAAGAACTTTTTTCCCTGTTGTTTCATGATGATTGTATTATTATCTTTAAGCATTGTTATGTTTGTCTTTCTGTAGATCACAAGATAAGATGAGAGAGAGAGAGAATGAGAAATCTCAGAATTCTAGTTCTCTTAAGATATTTTTTGCTCCTGAATTTTTCAGATTCAAGCCTGAACTTTTTCCTTGTAAATGGTAATGTAATTTCATTGGGTCAATCCATCAAGTGTCCAGGTTAAACCTCTTTAAATTGTTCATATAATTGGATGAATTTTCTCGGAAATAACTTCAAATCATCATCACCCTGAAACATTAGTTATTTTATTCATGATAATAAACTGAATGAATGAACTTTGAACAATTTTTTCAGTAACTTTAAAGTTATGATCTATTTTTGGATGTCAGAAAACAATCTTAACTGATTAGTATTCGTATTAATTATCTGTTAGCATGATGGTTAATAGGATATTCCAATAACTTAATCTGATTATTTCCTGATCAGGATTTATCGTCCTTTGGGTCAGTTCATTCACACAACGTGATATCTTTGATTAGCTGATCAACTCTGTTGCTATTGATATGATAATCTAATTGTTGCATACATATGATAGTAGATAAACTATCATTTGGGTTCATTAAGCTTCCCAGTCTAATCATGGTCATCAGATTATCACTAAATTGAGTAGATACTAATCAGTTGGTAAGATTAAGTTAATCTCACATATGATAATAATCTTAATCTTAAACTTATAATCTCAATGGTTATCATTTGTCATGGTGACACAATTCAAAGATTCAAAGGTTGAATGAGTTGAGTTGAATTTAGGGATAAATTTCAATCTATTAAGTTTCAAAAACGATAACATCCCTTAACATTATATTGGAATAAGTGTTTTTTTCTTACCCATAGTAATTGATCATTATGATGGTTATCATGATAACATTTTGATGATTCCATTCAACATTTACCATGATCATTATCATGATTATAATCATCATCACCATGAGTGATATTCAACAAATCATCTTGTTATATTTTCATCTTCCATTGTTATAATATACAATATATGGTTCCTATTAATAGTCTTACTGACCAGGGATCTCAGTAAGATTTTGATATAACCAACAAACGAATATCACAAAAAAAGAGCCTTATATTAGATAGATGATTTCGATGATTACTCGAAGGAAGAAAAGATGAAGGTGAAAGAAGATAAAAGATGATGAAGGGTTGTGATGATGATGATCATCATCATCATCATCATTCGTATATAATAATGATCATACTGTAACAGATTGGGTATACAAAGTACTATTCTTCAGTCCATCTGAAGCTATTTCCCTGATGAGAATTGGAAGTTAAGCAAAAAGAAATGATGATAATGAAAGAGAGAGAGAGAGAGAGAGAGAGAGAGAGAAATGATGAAGAAGATGATAAAAGTAAGAGAGGAAAAATATAAGTTAAAAGGTTAATTAGCTCAACCTTGTTCAATGTTGTATCATAATAATCATCGGAATTATCAATAACCGTTGACGATAATGTTTCAATTTATCAATAGGATTCAATGTTATTATTTTATTGTTGTTTGTTATTGTTGATGAAATAAACAAAAAATCAATATTATAATATTAATCATATTTGATTCAATTGAAGCAACATGATAATGATGATAAGATATATTACAAAATCATGAGCGTGTATCACATTGTATTGCCTATCAACTATTATGATCAAGTGCCTTATATTATTTTCATTTTTATCATATTAGTTATTAATATTTCTTGATATAATATATCATCATCATCATCAACTATCATCATCATCATCATCATTATAATCAAAGCTTAATATTTCCCATACCTTTTTACTTACTCCCACTTTTCCTCCTCATCCACAGCATCAAATGAACACTCAGAGTCATTAATTTGTCAATCAGAGTTTAGATCATGTTGTTATTGTTGTTGGTGTTTTTTTCACTCATTCTAATCATGTTTCAGTTAAGTTGTTTGTTAATTAAGCACCTTGATAATGATCCCTAATGATTCTTGATTACGATGATTAAAAGCATCTCTCATAAAGTATAATGATTACTTAGCTTAGTAATCAATCAATTTAATCATAAAACCAATCATCATGATTATTAGTTTCAGCTTTTAATTTGATTGTTTCCAACAAAAACTAAACAGTTAATCTGATATTTTGATTATTATTATCTTTTAATGGATTAACTTTGCATAATCCCTTGACTTTTTCATTGCAAATCAATGCAAGTTTATTAATTATCATTTGATTGTTGAATTAACTTTTTCATTTCTCTGATCGCTTTCCTTATTTTCACAGGAGATTTATCTAACAATATCAAATGAATACACTAATTGGGAAAAGCCAACTAGCCATCCATTCAATATAATCGACTCACTGACCGATCTACTTTCTGATTCATTGGTGGTCGCACCGGTCATCAAAGTCGCCACCCTGCACTCTCGTCGTCCAGCAAAAACCTATTTTTACGCTTTCACATATTCAACTGAAGATGGTGACTTTCCGTCCAGACTTGGCTGTGTTTCCGGTCAAGATTTAAATTACCTGTTTGGTGCTCCACTAATTACCGGCCATAAACTGTCACATTTCTCACCAAAATACACTCGAAGTGAAATCGCCTTAGCTCAAACTCTAATCACCAATTGGGTTTCCTTTGTTAAATTCGGGTAAGCATTTCGATTGACCAACAACCTTTCCCTTGATCGACCATTGATAATCTTTTGTTTATTTGTGTCATTATCATCTTAATATGTTAATATTAATGTAATTTGATTTCTAATTTAATCAACCCTAATGATCAACAACATCTCAGGTCGATCACATTTCAAGTATTATTTTACCCTCGCAACTTGATTCTGAAATAGTATCATGATCATGGTAAATTCAATGGTTAAAATTCATGAGAAAAACTTAACTTCTTTCATTTCATTAGAAATATAAAGAAAAAAAAGAAAAAAAAATTATATCCAATATTTTGATTTTCTATTATCTCTTTGATTGTTATTCCTATTCTCAATTACTCATGAAGAACTTTTCTTTTCATGGTAACATTTTCATTGCAACCAGAATCTTGCACTAAATTTAAATGACTTAATCCTTTTATCACTGTTGACGTGATTAATTAACTACTGATTGTTAATCTAATCAAAATGACTAATGATCAAGTTGTTGATTGAAAAGTTAATTTGATTTTCCCTTGTATTTGTTTGTTTTGTTTCCGCTAATCAGAGTTAATTGTTTTTATATATTCCATATCATTAACATAGATGATTAATATCACCAATTGAAATACTTAACTGAATTAATCTTAAATCAGTGAATTAACTTGAAAAATAAAAGTAACTAAGGTAACGAAAGCTTCTTATTGTATTAAACTGTGTAATCAATTAAATTGATTAACTTTAATCAAGATATTTAAAGGTTCAACTTGTTACCTTGAAAAATCAGTAACAAGATTAGTGATTAATGATTAGATTGAAACGGAATCTTATCTGATGGTCTACTGATTAAACAATTTAAATTCAATAGTAAACAGAAAATGGATGATTAAGATGATGGAAGATGCAATTGTTTACATGGAATTGACCATGGAAATGATGAAGAAAAAAGAGAGACTCAGTATCAATATTGTTCCTTGATAGAGAAAAGGATGAAGATGAAGATGAAAGAATAATCAATTCGATTCGTTAGTAATCAATGAATGGATAAGATGTGTAATAATACTTTTCCGGTTCCAAAATCTTGGAATAAAGAAAATGACCAATGGTCATCATCTTTCTCTTCTTAGCATCTCTCTTTATGTCTGGTTCAGTTTATCTCTCCCTTATCTTCATCCTCATCCTTTATCTCTCACTCTCTCATCTTATCATTTTTGTGGGTCACATTTTTTTCTGTGTTTTAAATCATTTGATCCAGAAAATTGTGGATAAGATAGCAAGAGAACTGTGTGTAAACACAATATGCTTTTCCAGGGAAACGGAAAGAGAAATGATAATAATGATAGAAGACAAAAAAAGATGAAGAAGAAAATGTTCATCTTCTAAATCCGCATCATCTTTGAGAGAGTGACAGAGAGCTGGATGATAGAAAAGGGTAAGAGGAAAATAATGAAAAATTCGACTAAAAATGACAAAATTGATCATTTATCATCTTCTTCCTCTTATCTTCTTGTATCATGAGATTAATTGATGATAAAGGTTAATCTTTGATTAAGAATTCAGGTGAGCCTCATCTTTAAACACTCACACATACACATAGATTATTAATCACTGCAAGTCAAAGTCATAACTGAATTAATCTAATTGCCTATCAAATCAAATTACTTTTCACAATAATTAGCAAAAGTTAATCATTAAAAAAAAGTAGATTCTGGTGAAAAGCTTGATGATGACAAATCTAATTGTAATTACCACCATCGGAGACTAACCATTAATTGTTTATCCACGTTTTCTTTGCCATTTCCTAACAATCAACCAGAGATCCAAACATGAGAGACGATGAAACCGATGCCCTGGTCAAAGGTAATCAAAGTGTCAAGGAGCCAAAGGTCAGTTCAAACAGTCGTGGTAGTAAAGTAACATGGCCAATCTATGAAGAGCATCAACAACAATATTATGTATACGATATAAGTGAGTTTAATTGTTACCTAATTAGCTAAAGCTCATCAACACCCTGATCTACTCATCCTCTTCCTTATCCTCTCTCTCACCTTAATGATACATTTATCATCTTCATTATCATTTCCTCTCAATATTTTTTTTTTCCTTCTCACGATCATGATTATTAATCGAGTCTGATAAAGTTCAGTCTTCCCTCACCTCGATATGTACATGTAATTATGAACAATAATATTTTCATCAAGTTGATCATCTCTTTCTTTCTTTGATGACTTATCGTCATCATCATCATGATAATAATCAGAATTTGGAATATATCAAAATTTTCTCTCAACGATCATTAACATTCTTTATCTATTATTATGAGACATTTCCTACTTCCTCATTTCTATCCACCTCTCACCCTCTTAATTTTATTTCCCTGTTAGCATTTTGGTTCATCTTCATGATCATCATTAGCTTTTTTATTCCTTTGAATAAAACCATCATCAGGGGAGAGTCAACTTGATATCTGAACAAAAATTGAGAATAATTTTGCTTCAGAACTTTTTTTTCATATTTTTTTCTCTATCGGAATTTTCCTCCTGTTATCATGAGAGATAGTTTATTTTTCCTACTCCTTTGATGCTCATTTATCTCATTACCTGAATAATCATTTACACGGGAGACAAATTATTATATTGACTGTTTATCAGAGGAAATTCAGAATTTTCTGAGAATTTCATCTTTTTTTTTGTTTGGAAAGTTTGAGAATATCTTAGAAACTCAATCTCATTATTTTTAAATTTTTTCTTCTTTTTTTTTACTTCAGCAATTAAGCCTAAATTACGAGATCACTATCATGCTCATCGGATGTCGTACTGGTTGAATTTGATTCCCAAACTTCATGTTCCTGGTTCATCAGCTAATCAAGATTATCATTTACTTCATAATCACCATGATCTATCAACATATGATGGGACCGTTCGTGCTAATCGTCTTCCGAGCCTATTATCATCACCATCTCAATCATCTTCCAACATAATATCATCTCCGCCTCCAGGTAAATATCCTTAATCACAATTAAAATGCGAGAGAGAAAATGATTTTTCAATTTCAATTTTCATTCTCAGTGAATCTTGGTGAAAGTGGTTCACTTTCCTCTTCATATCCAAATTCATCTATAACTCATTCCCATCATGGTTTATTAGATGTTAACTCTGATGGTGTCTCATCCTCATCCTCATCATCTTTCAGTGGTTCTCATCGATCATCAAGTGCCTATGAGACACAGAATTCAGCTCAATCAACATTTAATTCAACCGTTTCTTTCCTGGGAACTCATGTAACTTATACAACTGCCCTGAGTGTCACCATTGCCATTGGCTGTTCATTGCTCATCTTAAATGTCCTCGTTTTTGTCGGATTTTTTTATCATCGTGATCACTTGAAAGCAAAAGAATCCAAATCCAATGCTAAAAATAGTTCCAACCCAAACAATCAATCAAACAATAACAATCAACTCCAAAATAAGGTAATCAAGATTCGTAATTTTCATTTACTATTGATAAAAATAAATCAATTTACTAATCATTCTCATTTCTAATTTTTTATTTCACAATTTAGAGTTCAGATGATGATCATAATGGTGGATGGCAATTAACTGGCAAGGAAACTGGAAGATCTATGATTTCTTATTATCCGGAAAGTAACTCGTTTATTTGTCCATCAGAAACAACACTGACCACAGTGACCACACCAACAATTGGCTTAGGAGGAGGAGGTAACAATAATATCGGTAATAATATTACCGGTGAGATGCAAATCAATTCAACTGATTCACCTTTACCTGTTCACCAATGGATTAACAGTCAACAACAACAACAACAGCAACAACAATCAATTGCTTGTGCTAATTATAAAGGTTATCAACTTCATCCTTACACACCGGAAACAATTGATATCTTACAAACATCTCATCATCCACTTAACCACCATCAGCATCACCATCATGTCTCATTAAATAATTGTACCTACACAACGACAACAATTAACCCAAACACTGTTGGTAATGTTGAGAAAAACTTGACCAATCTTATGGATACATCATCACTTGTTATCACTGATGATAATCAATCAAAATCTAAATTAATGCCAAGTGAAACTGGTATTTGACAATTAAAGAACACTCAAGTTTAAAATTAGGATCATTAACAGTAACAAAAGTGATTAATTTTTCTATTCCGTAAGACTCAACCAAATCATCATGAGCATCATTTCCGTTTCCGTTTTCTCTTTTTCTTTTCATTTTCTCTTCAAACTCGATTTACATATTATCAGACCTTCCGATTTGTAAACAAACGATTAAGTTGGAAACAAGATGATGATGATGATGATAGTGGAAGATTCTTCTAGTATTCTTACATCTTTATTCTCATCATCTTTCTTTCTCCTCCTCCTCTTTCTTCATGATGAATTTGATGAAATGTAAGAATAGATATAAAGAGTTAACATGGGAAAAAATTTCTAGTCATTAAGTAATCTTTTTCCTCTTATATTCAGATTCTTGGCTCTGAATATGAACTTTTATCTCCCTGAACCATGATTACAATTGATTTCTTCGAATGAGTTTTTATATACTACATGTGCCTTTTGTTGATGACAAAGATGAAAGATCTAAAAGATGAAGATGAGAATGAGAATGATGATAACTGGTAATGAAGAGAAACAAGTTTTGACATGTTCATGTTAATTTCACTTTGAGACTCTAGTGACAAAATAAAATGCTAAGAATCATAACAATCCTTAATGATTATCGTCATCACTAATTGAGCTAAATCATCATCATCATTACTATCATCCCTTTGGTCATGATAATAATAGTATATCTAGAATAATAAACTTTGAGATACTTTTCCCTTCCTTAATCTTAGGATACTAATGGATTTCTCTCTCTCTCTCTCTCTCTCTCAAAATCACCACAACTAGTCAACATTACCACCACCCACTCTTCCTCCTCCTCCTTGAAACTATTCAGATACAAATGTAATAAATGCTAAGCTACTGTTGGCATAATAATATTAATCTGCATTCTCTGTGATATTGATCCAGTTATTATTATGAAAAGAAAAGAGAAAAAAATAAACATTGATGAAGATAACTCACTCGTCATCATGTCATCTTCGACTTTCTTTCTTTCTCTGTCATTAATATTATCTTCCTTATCATCATCATCCTCCTTCTTCAAGTGTCTTCATCGACTAACATTCAATTATAATTATGAGAAACGCTGAAAGATGAAGGGGGAAAACCACAACAATTTGAATCGTAATTTCAATTCTCTCAATGGTTAATAATTATTCCAGAATTTATTATCCATCTCGAACCTCTGGATCTCTAATCATTTGTCTATTTTTTTGAATTGTAAATATTAACATGTAAGAAAATCGCTCTAGTTTCAAGTAACCTTTTTTGACCAATGTAAATAAATTATGATAACATTGTAATGAGAATTTTGGAAAATAAAATTATTACCATTAATCAACCTTGATTGTTGTCTGATAATCTTAACTTTTTCAGCCTGATTGTTGATAAAACATTATATAAGTAATATGACGGTGATGATAATGATGAGAATTATTAATTTTGGTCCAAGATTGAGTGGAAAACTTTTTTAAATCATGAATCAAACAGATTTGATATTATTGCTAACGATTGAACTTTTTTTTTCTAACAGAGTGATTATCATTCATGGTGGTTTATTGAGTAAAAAATGGGAACACTGGATATGAGTAAAAATTGATAATGGTGACAAAGGGATGAACAAGGGAGGTGGTAAAGAGGGTGGGGTGGGAATGATGAAAGATGGAGGAGTAATTTACCGAGATGCCAATGGAGGACAATAAGAAGACGACGAGTGAGTGAGAGAGAAAGAGAGAGAGAGAGAGAGAGAGAGAGAGAGAGAGAGAGAAGGAATGAAAAAACGTGAATAGGATGAGCAAAATGTTGAATGTCCTTTTTTCATCACAACTTTTTCTTCCTCCTCTCTTCTTATTATTATATCGTTTTATTGGTTAGAACTCGATGATGATAAAAAAATGCTCGTTAAATGACAAGAAAACTGTTCAACTTTTCATTCTGATAATATTAACTTTTTTCTAATATTATTATCATCTTCTTATTCTTTATCTTTTCGGAAGGAAGAGGTAAGTATTATGATCGTTGTTGTTATTAACTATGTTATGGAAAGAAAAGCAACAAGAGAAGAATTTTTTTTTTCTTCGAATTTTCAATTCAAGTTGGAAACAAAATTCTGGTCTTTTTAATCTTGGCATCGTAATTTGATATGAAGGAATTTAATCCATTGATTCATGGTTATCAGCGAGAAATTCATTCTGATTATTTCCATGAAAAGTTTACACTTTCAACTGATTGAAACTTTTTCTAAATCATTTTCTCTCAATCAATTTCAATTGTTCAATTGTCTGAATTTAATTTGACATTGGCAACTGATTCAGGTTTCTCATGATAATCATCATCAAGTTGATTGTGAAACAATTAAAGTCTGAACAAAAGGATAATCTTTTAAACTTCAGTATAAAAGATTATCTCTTCTAAATGAATCAATTGCCATGTAACAATTAGGAAGCTTAAATTGTAACGGTCTTACGGAAACTCATACAAAAAATTAATGATTAAAAGATCAAGTTGATGAAGTTTTTTGATTGTTGATATAATTTATATATTCAAATCATCATCAACATTTATCATGGTGAATAAAAAACAAATTGACTGAGCAATCAACTAACTATCACGTATAATTGATGATAATCAAAATAAATTGATAAACGTTTAATGAACCAATGAATTGAGTTCAGTGGAAAAAAGCTCAGGAAACTGAATCTCTCGAACAGGAGAGAGAGAGAGAGAGAGAGAAAAGTTCTGAGATGAAAATAATGAAATCCAATGAAGAAACAGATTCAAGGAGGAAAGATGAAGATAATGATGACGACGATGATGATGATGATGATAACGATGAGTATTGGAGCGATGGGGGAGGGAGAAAGGAAAACAGATTATTGAAGATGGATAAAAGTGATGAATGAGTTGAGGATAAAATTGGATAGGTCAATAAACGATAACATTGTGAAAATTGTGATTAAATGAAAATGATAGATAATCTAAAAAGTTCATGGTAACCTAATTCAGTTTTACCATGTATCCAATCTGAACATATCTCCTTTATCCTTTCCAATATATATTGATACAAAATATCAACAACAACAACAACAACAATGATTGAATATCCTTGAAGAGGGTCAAATGATAAGTTATTATTATCATAATCTTACTAAACTCCCACCGACTCCCAGTTTTGTATCATCATCATGTAATATGTATTTCTGTCTATTGTTATTATTAATATTTCACTCATCTCACTTTCATCTTCATCTTTTTCCCTCATCCTGATGCTTTACTTTGATAAGATTCAACAAGGTATTCATTTCAGTGATGATTCTGATGAATACATGGTGATAATAATAACAACGGTAACAACACATTGAACCACATGAGAAAGATTCAGATTTATTCATTGTGTTGATATTTTCATGATAAATCTGAATGCTTATGGAAATGATAACTTACAGATTGACTTTTTCCACTTTATTTGCTACTTTTTTATATAATATTTAATATTTATTACTGATTGGTCAGTTTCCAATTGAATAGTGGACAATAAATATAACTTTCTCTTATCATCACTTACCTGTCATCTCAGAAATGGTGATATATGCAAATTTATCATCATATTATTCATTTTTGCATCGTCAACCAATTCTAATCAGATAAGTTCATTAAAAAGTATTCCTTATGATCATGATAACTTTTGAACTGAACAATTTGGTTTATCGTAACTCGATTCGGATAATTGTCCACCAAGTTAATCAGCTAATTGTGCCGGTAAAATATCAACAATTGAATCGATTTGATTGGACGCTAATTGTGGCACTGGTTCGAGGATTAAAGTGACTTTTGAATAGGTTTTTCTTTCACCCGATTCATGCATTACATGAGAAAGATTTTTGAACTTCCAATGAATTGCCTTGAATTGATTAGATTTGATTTTCTTGTTCACTCACCCCAGCTCAATGGATTTTCATTACTAAATTTTGAATCTATTTAATTGACTCATTGATAATATTTTCCGTGATAATAAGTATATATGCTTATCATGAATATACATCAAGTCGATATGAAATATTCATGGTAATAAGTTTTACTTGGGTTCATGATATACAAATGTCACAATGGACACAATGATGGTGATAATGATCGTCACCATGATTGGTGACAATGTACACATTTCAATTGAATATCTTTCAAAGTATAAAAATGTATTCAGAGAGTCATGATATTTATTCATTGTATAAACAGCAATTGTCTTGAAATATCTTCCAATTGAAAACAAACATGTCTGACTTATGATGATGGATAAGATTGGTTAGAGAATAGAATATAAAGAAAAAAGTTCTATTCTCTAAGAAAAGAATTCAGAGTTTCTCATTGATGTATTTATATTCAAATTCATGAGTCAACGATGGAAACTCATGTTGATGGGAATCTCTTGTGATCTTGAATTCTAAACTTTGAAACAGTTTTTTTTTCTCTTCAGCGAAAGAAATTGATAAGAAGATGGAGATAAGGATGATAATGATGAGAAGATGCAAAATTTTCTGGTTTAGAAGATCATTTTCTCTCTCTCTCTCTCTCACTTTCTGTTCTTCGTCGAACTTTTTTTTATTATATTTTTTCTTCTTCTTCTTCTATTCAGATCAATGAACCATATTCGGTGTGATTTTCATATTCTCTTATCATCTTCATCATTTTCATATTCTCCTTATCGTTTGAATCATCTCTTGAATTGTGATTTTCTTTTTACACTGAACAATTTGTTCAATTGGTAACCTCAAGTAAAATACATACGATAAAGATAATCAGCATGATGATGAGGGAAAAGAAGAGAAATATTTTCATGAGAATAACAATTTTTAGCTTGGAGTTTACATTAAGACGATCATGTATGACTGAGTAAATGGAGGAGGTAAAAAGGTTGGGTGAGAGTTGACAGGGTAAATGCTCATGGGTATAATTCAGATTCAATCGACTGAATCAGATTGGAAAACAATCTGAAAGCAAAGTGCAAAGTTTTCCCATTTTTATTTAACTCGCCATTTTATCAAGTGTTAAACATTCAATTAATCTACAATTAACTTTCTTCAATTGAAACTTGAGGTGAAAATATGAAAAAATCCCCATGAAAAAAAAACACACACAAACAGTAGAAACAAATGATTAGGAACTTGTATATTTCTCATGTAATAATATCATGATGAAAGAAGAAAACTTTTCCAAATAATATCCGATGAACTTTCACTTTATATTCAATTGTTTCTATTGAATATGATAAATCGTATTCATCATCATCATCAGCAGTCCAAATGAAAATCCCCTGAAAATTTCATTTCATTTGATGATAAAATTTTTTCTTCTTCTATAAAATAAAAACTATTATCATTGTTTACTGTTTTAACTGATTAACTTTTCCTGTAACTTGAAACATTTTCATTGTTTTCGTAACTGTTATATCAGTCACCCTACCCAAGTGATTACTGTTACCATTATCATCATCATGAAAGCCATGAAAATAATAACATAACTGAAAAAAGAATCACCAAAACTTTGATAGTTTTTGTATCAAGAAGAGAAGAATAAAAAAAACTTAAAATCAATGAAGTCAATCTAATTGGTCAAGCTTTTTTTTCCTTCTTATGTCCTGGTCACTTTGAAAATGGAATTGAAAAAAATCGTTTCATCTTTTTTTTTCATTTTTGATCTTTTTCGAGGTCTTTTAGATGTCATGATGATGATGATGATGATGATGATGCTCCATGCTGGGTGAAGTGGGTGAAAAGTGTCTCATGGTCTAATGTTTATCGGATATGATACACATTTGAAAGGGAAAATACAATATCTTTTATCCCAATGATTTTGGAACAAATTTAAAGATGAACCATTTTGTTTTCTGATAAAATCATCTTCATCTTTATCCGCATCCTTTTCTTTCATGTTGTTGTTATGTATCCGGTGATGATCTTGGTCATTTTTCAGGTCAATTTTGTTTCCCAAACAATTGATGAGATTCAATTGATAATCAGATGATTTTCATGATATAAAAAAGATGAAGAAAACTTTTCATTTGAGTTTTTTTTCTATTCGGTCAATTGATTCAATAGTAAGGAAAAATTGATTATCTTTTAGAATTAAAATTCAACAGTAACTATGGTGATGATGATAATTCATCGTTTGTTTTGATTGTAAAGAGAAAACAAAAAATTGCAACTCATCTCACCATAGAAACCACTTGATATCTATTGATACATTTATCCTTTTCTTGGTTAACATTTATTGTTGGAGAAAATTGTTTAGTTTGTGCTGACAATTAACTGATTAACTTATCATGGAAAATATTAAAGGAATAATATCTTCACTTAACAAGGAACCATTTCGAAAGAATTTAAATTTGGTCACTTATGATAATCTTCAGGGCGATCAGCGAATCCAGATTCTTTTTGACATTTTCCATGCAATCGATGAGACTGTAAGTGTTTACTAATCACCTGATTAAATGTGAATTCCCGTGGAAAAATATTGATCACGTTTCAATGAAATTGTTGATTGTTAAACAGGTAAATTCTGATATTCTTGAGATTTCCGAAGGTGAAGAAGTGGTTATGAAAATATTGGAAATGCTTCGAATCCTTAAATACACACCACCAGCTAATATTGAACCGTAAGTTGTTTTAAATCAGATGAAGGAACATGATAAAAGCCTTCATCATTATTCTGATTCTGAATAATCATCATAATCATGGTGGTTTATTTGTCTTTTATTTTCTTGTCTGGATAAACAAACGATAATCATTTATAATATCTATTTGTTTTCTCAAAATTTATCATTTCAAATTCATTATTAATATCAAATGAGAATTGTCATCATCATTTGTTGATCTATCATCAGAATTATTATTTCATAATACTTTTCTCTCTCTCTCTCTCATCAGGAGCTTGTTCCGGCAGAATTTAATTTCCGGTGAAAGAAATACCTTTACTCATATCTTTGACTACCTGTTAAGTAAACTCGATGAGCTCAAACAACGAGCCTACTTGGCACGATTTCTGGTTAAAATTGAAGTTTCACCGGACGTTGAAGGTGATCAAGATATTGTTCAACTGTACGAACAGGTATTATCATCACTCCGAACATTGAACTTGTCATTTTCTGGTTAATTTGATTGATTGTTTTTATCTTTCTCTCTTTCAGTATGAACAATTGATAGAAAATTTCAAAATGGTTCATAGTAGTAATCAGAGTTTGAAAAAGTCTCTAATCTCAATTCAAGAGCTTCAACGAGATATTAAATCTATGGAAGATGAAAAGGAGCAAATTCAAGAAAAACTGATATCAGTTAAACGAAAGGTAAATTGTGATAATGTCAACATCGATTTCTTTTCTAATGATAACAATTAACTTGCAGGTTGATGTAAATCAAGATCCTACTTTTTTCCGTTTAGTTCAAACTCATCGGGAAGAGAAGGAGAAAAATGAAAATCTCCTGAAACAAATACGATCCCAAGATGTTGAAGTAAGTGTTTGTTGGGTGAAAAACACTCGATTTGATTGTTGTGATTGATTGTTAATCATTTAAATCTTTTCGTTGTTGATTAGTTGGAAATGATTAATGATAAGATGGGTAAGATAAAGAATCGCTTGAAAATGGCTTTGGCTCATCATTCAATGGGAATTACACCTCAGGATATTTTGGAGAAACTCGAGGAAGAAGTTGAGGCCAAACGGCGATTAGTGAAAGAGGTTTTACCAATCGAATGTGCCTCGATCGAACGCTATCTTGGTGACATTGAAGAGCTTTCATCTCAGCCCGAAGTGTTGCCCACTTTCGCCGATAAGATTAAAGCTAAAATTCAAACACTAAATCGAGAAATAAACGAGATGATCGAAAAGAAAATGTTGACCAATGATGATACCGAAGATGAAAAGTTGGCCTTGGTCCGTCAAAGCGTAAGTTCAATCTGTTAATGATCAACTAATAGTACGTTTTATCATCTTCGATTTTCTCTCTGACCCTTTACTCTATCTCGAAGGCTTCACTTGTCGCCAAAAAACGAGCCAATTTACAAGAGACCGTTAAAGAAGCCACTGGTCAGCTGGAAGAGATAAACACTAAATTAGAAGAGAAAAGAGTTTTGTTCGATGGCGAGGAAATACTCCAGGGGGAAGATGTGAGTCCATGGCCATGTTTTCAATTCGAAATCAAATAAAACCCTTTTTCTAATGTCAATAGTTGAAACGATACGTGACCGATGTTCGAAACAAGGGAAACGTTTATAAGCAGAAACGTCGCGAGTTGGCAGAGATACGAACAGAATCTGCTATCTTATCGAGAACCGATGAAATCCTTAGAGAGAAGTGGACACGATTAGGTCAGATCTTATTGGCACTCGAAGAGCAAAGAGGAATCGTGGGATATTTCACTTCTCAGAATGAGGGTGAAAAACAACAAGAAGAAGAGGAAGAGGACGAACAAAACATGGAAGAATTGAGAACTATAACCAACGAATTAAATGAATCGATAAACGTGAAAAAAGCTCAACTTGCTCCATTGGTCAAAGATCTTCGTCCACTTCGTCAACAATGTCAAGACCTTCAAATGGATTTTGATCGTAAAAAGGCCAAATACGATTCGTTGGCCGCTTCATTGGAAACGAATATTGTTAAACTTGAATCGGTGGTGAAAAAGTATCGAAATGAATTCAATTCACTTTCCTCGAGCAAATTTACCCTCGAAATGGAATTGGAAGCTCTCAATGTTGTCCAGTCGCTTGTTGATCTCGATCTTCGCTACTATGTGGCCAATATTGTGGAAGATAAAGAAAAGAGTTGGTTGTAAGTTTATAATTAGAATAATTGGTTAACTTTTCATGTGAATTTAATGCTCATTTTTGTATCTTTCGATTGAACGAGTTTCTTTTTTTTTCCTTTTCTTATTGTTTACAGAGCCAAATTAGAAAAGGAGATAATCAATGAAGAGGAGGTTCGAAGTGATCTAAGAACGCGAATGAGAGAATTACAAGATAACGAGAACAATGCTAAGAAACAATCCAAAATGTGGCAGGATCTGAAAGAATTGTTAAAAGTTAAGAATGAGTGTTTTGAAAGGCGAAAAGAGACAATTCATCATCAACCATCACAAGGGAAAAAGGATCATCTTATTTTATAGATTATGACTAATCAGTACGTGGAAAACCATTTTGTGTAATAAATTTGAAGAAAGAAAAAAATAGATCCGAAAGATAATGATAATTTGCTGAGAGATAATCCAGATCATCTTTCCGTTGCAAGTGGTTGATGTTTGTGTGTACGTGTAAATTTTGTGTTGATTTGGGTGAGTGAGAGCAAAGAAACGCCAATGTGTTAATAATAAACATTATTTGTTTCCTTCCAATTTGAAATTATCATTTCAGCTTAGTATTAGTAGCGGATTTGAAGATGTGATGAAAAGAAACAGGATTAATATTATATAATATATTGTAGATTAGGAGTAGTACAGGTATTATTATTGTTATGTTTGTATGTGTGTGTGTGTGTATGTGCATGTGAGTTTGTTGGTTGATAAAAATGTTATGACAACATCATCATCTTTCACCATTCTAATCATCATCACCGTTTAACTGTTGTGTTTTTTAATCAGGTACAATTTGACATCACATTTCTCTTTTTTTTCCATTTTATTTGCTTTGATTTATGGTCGATCACCGGGAATAGGTTAACATTTAAATTCACTTGAGACATCTTTCAAAGGGTATTCGTCCAATGGATCCTCCTTGCATTGCTTTTCTTACATGTTGTTCAAAAAGACGACGATTGTTTTGTAACATATCAGCAGCTTCTTTATTTAATGGATCTTCTGGATTTGGTTCCTTTAAATTGAAAGAGAATACGAAACGTTATCATTTAATGAATTAGCAGAATATGAGAAAAGTTTTTTTTCTCATCATTTTCAACTTACCAAAAAGAGATATTGTAAACCATAAACGATTGAGTTGATTGTAAGAACGGGTTTCCAATCTTCACGAAGAATATTAAGACAAACATTTCCTTCAAGATCGATATTGGGATGGAAAACCTTTGTCTTACATTTGACTTTCGGTGGATCATGTGGATAATTGGGGCTAACTTTAAAACTAAATATAAATCTACCCCCCTTATAGAAACCCTGAATTGATTGAGTTGATAAGGAAGAAAAAGAAAAACAATTACAAGGTTAAATTGATATATATTATCAAATTAGTTACGATGAATTGAGTATTACCGTTAGGTAAAATGATTGTAGGCCAATCAAAAAGAGTGAAAGATAATTACCTCATCAGGCATAATAACTAGTTGAAAGTTGAGTAAATCATCCGGATCAGGGAATTCAATGTTACAGGTTTTAGGTAGAGTCAGTTCATTAATGTCTATGTGATGAAAGAAAGAAGATAATTAAAAGATTTAAAAAAAAACAAATGATTATGAGATTCAATTTGTATCAATAGATTTAAATTATTTACCTTTAGTTATTCGTAATTGAGCTGCTGAAGCTCTTTTTTGACTAGATTCCGATTTAGAGCCATCACCTTCTTTCTTCTGATTCTTCAATGAGAAAAGCTTAATCATGGTTAGTATATTTTACTGAAGAGGAAACAAACAAACTGTTGGCCAATAATCAACACAATTTACGAATAAAATTTCTTCAACAATGGAGAGAGAGAAAAATGAGAGAAAAAGCTATGATCAGTTTAAAGCTTTTCTTATTAAAACAGAGAGAAACAAATGATTAATAGTTAAAGGGGAGAGAGAGAGAGAGAGACCAAATAAATACACTAAGATAGGCAAACAAAAGGGACGGTAAAAGAAAAGGTAAAAAAGGTAAGCAGACAAATTGAATTAACTAATTGGTTAGATGATCAGAATTTTGTACCAATGAAACAAAGAGTTAACCTTAAATTAGAATTAACAATTATCGATAATTGTGTTGAGTTAATTGAACATAAATTTAATCACCATTAAAGTTAATGACAGAACATAAACAAAAAAACAATTCTCCAAATAATCAATCAGATGTTACAAAATCAGAATAGAGAAGTTCCGATTGTGTCGCCATCTCTTGTTTCGAAAACAAACAAAAATAAATAGAATATTTTAAATGTAAAGTTAAATTTCTAATTCTTTTCAAACTTAATTAGTGAGAAAAAAATTCGCAATCAAGAATTAGCTTGATTGGGAAAATAAAAATAACAATATACCAACATTGATATACAAGGATTTGGAAATAAATTGTTTGGATGTTTGTTGTTTTCTCTAAATTAAATTATAATCCAAATCGTTGATTGTTGATTTTCGTTAAGAGTGAATTGTTTTCTTACGATTGTTTCGAATTTTTTGAGAAATTTGTTTTAATTGTTGATGTTTAAAGGATTAAATTGATTGGATGGAAATGGAAATCTAATTAAAAGTTGTGTTAACTTTTTTGGAAAAAAGAGGAAATACTTGAGCGCCATCTATCGAATTTTTTATTCTCTATTCTGAGATAATCTGTTTTTTTCTCTCTTTTTTTCATTGATGGTTTAAAGATGAAAATAAAGACAAAGTAATTAGACTTTTTAATTGACTAATTAAGCTAATATGATGATTATTTAAGTGTCCATTGTATTCGTTTGGTCTGTAAACAACTTGGTGACAATTTTCCTCATTTCTAGTGATCATTTAAATTCACTAGTTAACTAATTGTTTTTGCTCCTCTTCATCTTTGCTCTGATTTGATTTTCTCTCTTCCTCTCTCTCTCTCTCTCTCTCCTTTTCTCTCCTTTTCTCTCAATTTTTTTTACATCTTTATCTCTCACTTGCTCTTTCTATCTTTTCCCATTCTTTCCCATCATTTTCTCAGTCTTGTCTACCTTTTCTCTGTGAATTTCATTCACAGTCCATGTTAATTTACTCTCTTTACACCTTGTTCTTGTGGCTGCAACCAAGTGTTTCTATTGCCATTTTCCTGCTACTCCTCCTTTTTTTCCTTCTCCTCCTTCAATTTCTCTCTCCTTTTGTTCATTAATTTCATCTCTAGGAATAAATCATTTTAGAAGAAAAGATTGTATTTAAGGAGAATCTGGTCAATGGAGTCCATGGCACTGATCCGTTATATTAAAAATTCTCGTAATACCGAGACTTTGATTGCTGGTGAATTTATGTTCCGTAAAAACAAATGTCGAGATGAAAAGGTTTATTGGAAATGTCGGAAATCTGGTTGCAATGCAAAGATAACCACTCACAATGGTAAAGTTGTGGGCTATTTTTTGAAACATAATCATGTTGATAACAATCACGATGAAATTGTTCGTCTAGAGGGTTTACACTCACGAAATAATCAACCTCAGGTGAGAGAGAAAACAAAAAGAACAAATTTTTTTTCTATCTTTCCATGTTTTCAAATTGTCAATATTTTTTTCTCTTTTTTCTTCCATTATAATTTTCTTTTTCTTTTATATGTTTTTTTTGTGCAATTTTTACTTATCCATTCTAATTCGTAATTAATTCTTTGCCAGGTCACTCAAGTAGAAAATGTGATACATCAAGAAATTGTTACTCCAGAGGAATCTTTTGTTGATTATTCATTTGCTGTTGAAAGTATTGTTGCACCAACAAGTGATGGAGGTGATGCTGGAACCATTGTTGCTGAAGTTGTACAACGAAGGGTTGATGAATTAAATGGTATTAAAGGTCCAAATGGTGACTTGACAACAAGTGAGACAACTGTTGCTGTTGCCACAATTGAAGATCCTGAAGCGGAAGCCGATGCTGCTACATCATCATTGACCATTATGTTTAAAGAATTCAGTGAATCCCAGAAAAAGATTGAACAATTGGTTACCAATCTTGTATCTCCTGGTGAGAGTGATGATTTACAAACAGAGAATATTAGATTAAAGGAACAATTGGAAGAAACTGTTCGAAAGTGTAAAAATGATCTGGAAGCCAAAGAGATCGCAATACAAGAGCAAAAAAATCGAACGGAAACTCTTGAGAAAGAGATGCAAAATCGTTTAGCAGTTGAAAGATCGATTAAGGAAAAATTAGCCGATGAAAATACAGAATTAAAATTGATTGTTGAACACTATGAGAAGAAAATCAAAGAAAATGTCCAAAGAAATTTTTTATTCCATTAAGTGTTTAATCATCAACAACAAGAAGACGAAAACAAGTTAAAGAAAAACCATCACCACTACCACAACAAACACCACAATCACCTTTCCAGATAATTTGTTATTATGTGATAATTAAATTAACTAAATTGTGTACAAAAGCTTAAAAGGAAAAAGAGAAAAAGAAAACCTCACAATACCAGAGACCAATGAGAGAGGCAAAATTAGAGAGAAATGAATAATCACATTGATTCTCAGCATCTTCTCTTCATTTGGACATTTTTTCCTCTTTCCAGATTAATCTCTCCATCTACATCATCACCAATATCCTCATAACTATAATAATAATCATCACTCGTCATCACAATCATCATCATCATCATCATCATCACCAAAACCACCTCTAAAACCACACACACACACACATAGAGAATACTGAAAACAATTATAATTGATCATCATCGTCGCTCCTTTTATACATAAACACATATAAATATGAATTCTGACATTTGCATGAGAGCATAAGAATTATGGAAGAAAATTTAAATTCTAATTTAAGAGCAATAATCCTGCTAATCATCTCAAATCAAATCATTTGGTTTCTTCTTTCCTTTGTCCATCCTAACACCTCATATACATTAACATTTGCTTCCCGAAAGCGAGCAATAATAACCCGATTTAATTTAGTTAATCCTTTTTTTTTGAGGTGCCATCAATTTTGGTCAAACCAACATGTATAACTAATTTCCTCCTAATATGTTTCTCATGGAATCAACAATTAACAAGGGAAAAAAACGATAACCATGTAATAATATGTCATGATTGAAGAAGAAGAAAAAAAAATCGAAAATATTCCAATACAATCATTTTTTTTTCTTCTCACAAAATCAATTTCATTTTCTGTCCAAAATATTCAATAGATTTAAGATTGACATTTATTGTCTAAATCTCACAATTAACTTTTTTTTGTCTCAACAATTGAGTTTAGCAAAAGTACAATACTGTTCACCATTAGAAACCATTATCTTTCCGCTGATTATCATAAAAGCTTAAAGTTAATTGTGATTATCACGAGATTTTAATAAGCTGATTTACTTTGAGATAATCACTCAATTAACATTTGAAGAGAAACAAAAAGAAAATTGAAATGTTGATGAAAACCCAAGTCACTGTTTTCTTTGATTCCAATTGATTGTCATTCTTAATCCATTCACCTGCTTTGAAAGAGTCTAATCATTCAATTAATTTCTCTAATTGTAAAAAGAAAAACAATTAAACAACCAGGAGAGAAAATCTCAACAGAAAAGAAGACGAAAAGATCAGCTGAAGGAAATTCTAATAAAAAAAATGTTCTTTTCTTATGTTACCATAGAAACGAAAACATATGTTTGTGTTCACCTTTGTTGTCACTTGACAGTTTGTGATTCTCTTGAAACTGTCTTACAATTAGTTAATTCACTTTAATTTATTCCATTTATTTAATTATTTATTCGTGTTTTCAATCAACTTAATGCAATGTCTTCTTCGGGTAATTAAAGAGTTTATGTTTTCTTTTCTATTTTTGTTCCAATGGTGAGATTATGTGATTGTTGATTCTTTTGTTGATTGTTTGTTTTTTCATTTTCTATTTTAGGCTCTGGTAATAAGACTTCTCGTGAGAAGCGATTTCTTTTGAAAGAATATTATAAACCTGAGGAAATGGTCTCTGAGAGTGGGAATGTTGATATTGGTGATCTTTTCAACGTTAATAGTCCCGATTTCAATGCTGATCTATATTTAAGCAAGGTAGAAATTTCTATCAATTAATTTGCTATTTGTGTTGGTTGTTTTGTTTCTCTTTGATTACTCATTTAGAATTAATTGTTTTCCAGCTTCTCAAGGAATGTAATATATCACAATTAATGGACAAAGAAGATGTGCTACGCCGTCAAATTCAAAGTCTTGACAATGAGATGCAAACATTAGTCTATGAGAATTATAACAAATTCATCAATGCAACTCAAACAATCAAAAAGGTTTCATTTTTATTTTCATTTTTCTACCTTATATTTTTGTCGTGTTTCCATAATAACTTTTCTCTTGCTCTTTTCTGATATTTATCGATAGATGAGTAACCATTTTGATAAAATGGAGGAACAATTAACTGAACTATCTTCAAATATGGAAAAGATAACAGTCTCCAGTGAAGAAATATCAAAAAATTTGGCTACTCGTCGGCAAGATTTGTCCAAATTATCAGCGACCGATGGTGTCCTCAAAAAGCTACAATTTCTGTTTGACCTTCCACCCAAGATGAAAAAATATATCGAGGAAAGAAAGTACGACGAGGCCATTTCTTCCTACAATCAAGCCGTTGGAACCTTATCAAGATACTCACATTTCCCATCTATCGAAGCCATTGACCATGAATGTGAACAAATTCTGAGCAAATTAAGACAAGAATTATATAATCAATTACAAGATAGTGATGTGAGTATTTTTCGGTAATAGCAACCATGATTACTTGTTAATCTAATCATCATTTTTTCCTGTTAAACAGATCAACACACAACAATTAGCGATAACTATAAATCTTTTGCTCGGCCTTAATGAATCGCCTTCTCAATTATCTTCAGCATTTCTTGAAACGTAAGATATTATATTCCTCTTTACTTATTGTACTTATTTGGAACCATTTCCTTAATTGTTTGTCTATTGTTTTTTTTTCTGACTTTAGTTCCAAAAAAGCGCTTACCATTAATATAACGGAACTTGAAAAGGAAACCAGTAATTTTGTTCAACAACAAAAATCGACCTCAGAAGATGTTCAAAAAATGGACATTCTCGAGTATATGGACCTTGCATCTAATGGTTTCGTCAGCAATTTATCAATCATAATTACCTCTTATAAAGAGATTTTCATTCAAAAATTAGCTCTCAATGATAATGTTGATGAAAATCATTTGATTGACAATTTGAAAAGTTTTGTCAACCAATTGATGGACTCATTTTTTAGTCAAATCAAGACTCGTCTTTCAATTGAACCTTTTAATACCTTGGAAATCGCTTTCTTTGTCCGTTCCTTGGATCGTCTCTACCGTCGACTTCAGGCCTTATCCAATATATTTGGTTATCAAAATTACACCGGCGATGCATTCAATATAATCTGGGACTCAAGTTCAGCTCAATGTTCAAAAGCTTTAGAACTTTCCAAGATCAAGTTCGATGAGGAATTGGTTAACGCTCGCCATTCAATAATCGGTTTAACCTCTCATGAAACTGAGGATAAAATTTCCCTATCCGATATTGTGGTGTCTTTGGAAACCTCATTAAGTGAATCAATTAAAAATACGGTCAAAAGTTTGAGTGTTTTCTCGGCTCCTGATTTATCCTTCCTGGTTAAAACCAATTTTCGTGATGATTTTATTCTTGATGTTCGTGAAAAAGTGGTCGCTTCAATGCTCAAATATGTCATCTCACTTTCAACGGAACACCAACGTTCCAACTCATCGGCTACTCCTCTTTTGGTACTTCTCTTGTCCCGTCTTAACCTTGATCTTGACCTTACCATGATTAGTTACCTGATTAATTTTACGGAAGAGCAACTATACATTTCTCGTGACATGAAACCTTATCCACATCTAACTGGATTAAAACAATCGGCTAAAGATTGTGCCCAAAATTTAATCAACAACTACGTTAGACTGGAAGGTCACAGTTTATCTCAAATGATCAAAAAATCTATCGAAACTCGAGACTGGTCTAGTGGAGTTGAACCTCGTTCAGTTCGATCAGTCATGAAACGCGTTGTAGAAGATGTTTCATTAATCGATAGTCAAGTGACCCAATTGTATGAAGAAGGTTCAAGAACTGAGCGAAGTTCAGATTCAAGTCGAAGTCGCAATACCATGAGTGGAATCGGTCTCCCCTCATCTCGATCCTACAGTCGATCTAATTGGAGCTCTTATGGAGCAAGGTAATATTATTAACTGATTCCCCTCTTTCAAACAATTAATCAATTTTTAATTCATTCTTTTTACAATTTAGCACAATCGACAATAGTCTAATCAGTAACATCCAGAGATTATTTGGTGAAAGAATTGAAATATTCAGCTCGGTTGAATTTTCCAAGCTCTCAATTGTAACCGGAATAATAAAGATTGGACTCAAGGTAATCACCAAAACGAAGATCAACTAATTGTAATTTATTTAAATTCTAATTTCGTTTCTAAACTTTTAAATTTCAGACATTCCTTGAATCGGTTCGTTTATGTACTTTTAGTACATTTGGACTACAACAAGTCCAAGTTGATTTGTATTACCTACAAACTCACCTTTGGAGATTTGTAACTGACGAAAAGTAAGTTTTACTCTTAATTGTTAACAATACAATTAAAAATCTATTTTCTATCTAGTTTGGTCCACAGTATGATCGATGAAGTCTTAAGGAGCACAATTAATCGCTGTTTAGAACCAGTTCTAATGGAAATGAGTGTAAGTTATCCAGTATCGAACCAATCACCAAACAATCAACAATATCACTCAAATTAATTATTTCTTCTCTTAATTCTATTAGATTGTTGAAAAACTGTGCGAAGGCCAATAGAACGCTAATTACTTTACAATCCAATAAGTGAATCAAATTAAACACTCGACACAACAAAAAATTAAAAGGATACAAAATCTAATCATCAGCTCTCTTTAAGAATTCAGTTGAATAACTGTAAATATCAATAATTATTACACTCTAATTATCAATTGTTATGACATGAAGCAAATAAAATCTACGATTAAACATATTAATACATCCGATAAATGTACATACAAATGGAATAGAAGAAAATAATTTACTAATCATCCTAATCAACTGATTGGTAAACACAAACATTAATCTTCTCCCTCTTCCCTTACCCCTCCCTTTTCATTATCTGAATAATGCTTATCATCAACAAAGAAATTGAATTATCACCTTAGTTACATGATAGAAGCGAAAACGTTGTAAGCAACTAATTGTTACCATTTGAAGTAATTTCTCCAACACAATCAACGCCTCAAAGTGTTTTCCAGTTGAAAATTTTTGTATACTGACCAAGTGACCATCTAATCAATCAATCAAAATGCCTCAACAATATGAAACTTACATGAAAACCTTTCGTAAATCGGTGATAATCCTGTTGACCTTTAATCTCGCCTTTACCGTTGTTTACCTTTTCATTGGATTATCGGACATTTCCAATGAAAGATTAGCCCTGGAAAAAAAAGCTGACCTCAATTTAGATCCAAGTAAATATGACATCGCAACAATGATACTTTGTGGTTCCTCTTTCATCACTTTTATTGTTCTATCATTGGGATTATTTGGTGTTTTCTTTAAATCTTTTTGTACTTTACTATTTTTCTCAACAACCGGAACCGGAATATTTATCCTTTTAATAATTACCCTTCTCTTGGAAAATATAATCTCTTTCCTGGTATCAATGTTGATGGTTATTCTTACCTTGTTAACTTCATCTCTCTCACTTTATTATGCCTTTGAGATCAACAGGTATAAAGATTATCGACCCAAATTACCAGATAATTGTGATTATGCTAATTTCTAATCATCATTGATCATTCTCTTCAAATCATCATCACCCCAATGACCATCAGTAAACAACTTCATCAATTAACAATCGACCATCATCATCAATAAATGTTTAATTGTTCATCTATAATAACAATCATTTCCAATCACATCAACATATTACACCAATTACAACCTTCAGGTAACCATTTTCTTCATCATTTTCCCCTCTTTATTTACCTTTATCATCTCATTAATCTGTCCCTCCCTCTCTCTCTCTCTCTCCCTCCCTCCTACATCATTAATGAACATTGTGATTCATCTTTATTACCGTTATGTTTACCTAAAAGTTAATGAGACATTTTCTCTCTCTCACTCACTCACTTTCTCTTTCTCTCTCTTTTTATCTGATTTCTAGGTTATCATTTATTTATGGTAACGATTTTCATCTTCCTCTTGATTGTCTCTTATTTTCATTTAATGCAACAGCTAATTAAGATTCATCAGTTAATCATCTTTAATTTTGGTTAATCAATTAGATGAGAAATTTGCTCAATTGTGGCCATTTAATAATTTCATTGTTCACATTTAATCAAAGTTCGAGGTGGTAAACAATCAATACAAACCTTGATAATTATCAATAATCAGCTGATGAAATTAATTATCAACAATTATTGTAAACATTGAAATTCAATGATTACAGAAAATAATGTTTTCCATCAAAAATAATTCTCTAATTAACTAATTGTAGTCTATTTTTGACAATCAATCAATCATATCTTATTAACTAATATGTTATTATCCACAATCAATTAATCAATTGTGTCTTTATATTGATACTATTAATATGTATATTCAAATGCGTAATCAACTATTAAATAATTGAATAATCATTGGCAAATCTTACAATTTAATCCGGATTAAGTTAATGTTAATAGAATGTAATAAAAGCAATATAATCCCAAATGTATTATTAACAATTAACTGTCAATTGAACAAATTAACATCAACAATTTAAGGTTTATTGTAAATTAAATCGGCCAGTCAAAATGCTTATGGTTTTTACATGTATCAGGTTTAAAGTGAAATCTTTTAACAAGTTTATATTAATAACGGTTTAATCTTTATCCGTGATTGTGATTATGAATGAACTACCACTAATCCATTTCCGTTTCCACCTTTAACCTTTGGCTTTTGCCTTTTTCCTTTCTTCGTCTTCTTTCAATTTCCTTTTCTCTTTCTCGAATCCATCTTTCTTCTCTCTCTTTTCTCTTTCTCTTTTTTCTCTCACTAAACCAACTCCAAGTGTCCAATCGAGGTTCACCTTTATGTCCATTCCCAGTCGCTGACCATCAACCACCGAGAGATATTGTTGATAAGCCTTATCCTTGTGCCTTCTTCGTCTGCACAGAAAACACAACAACACTACGAACAAACTAGAACCCGCTGCAGCCGCGGCGATCAAAGTGACCTGAGATTTAATGAAACAATCGCCATAAACAGCCACTTCCAGATTCGGACAATTAATAACCTCCCACCTAATTGTTGAGAGAATTGAATAATCACTCTGTCAATTCACCATCAAAGGACAGAAAACAGTTAACCTAATGGTTTACATTACCTTTTGTACAATTGTTGACCAATCTGCTTGACCTCATTAACTTTAATGACCACTAATGTCAACAATGATAAGTTAAAATCAACCGTAGCATTTGCTGGTGAAAGTGGTGAAACTTGTTGACCACTGGGTGGTAATGGTAATCCGATCACATGGTAAACATTAATACCAATAAATAGCACTGACCATTTCAACTGACCACTACGTTTGGAGTCCATTATGTTTGTTTACACTCAATGAGATTATTAATAGTGAATTAAAACTTTAAAGTTTAACTAACAATCAATTAGATTGTAACATTTGATGTTTACATGATTTTCAAAAAAAAAATTGAACAATTTACTTGACAATATCCAATCTAGTTGACAATTAACTCTCAACTAGGAGTGATGATGATGTTGATCAACAATCAACCAGAAATAATTAACGCCTTCAATAATTTGATTAGATATTCTAAATCCCTTAACATTTAATCAGTTCAATCAACTTTTCCCAAATTGTATAAATCAGTTGACTAATTTGAGTTAAATTAATCATCTCCAATGATTAACTAATCAGAGTGAAAATAATTTACTCCTTTTGTTTTGTTATAAACAATCAATTGAATTTTTAATCTTAATTATGTATATTATTATGTATATTGATACAATTGTTGTTTGTCCTTTTAATTACAAACAATTTACAACAATTAGCAATTTAATTAGACATCATTTTGTGGGATAATCATTGATAAAATACAATCAAAGGTTAATTAATTGTGTGTGAGTGTTATGATCAATCAAAATAAATATTACATTTGAAAAGATAATTGGAAAGTGGGAGACAATTAAAAATAATTGTGACGATTAAGATGATTAACAAATGAAGTTTGATTACAAGCATCTCAATTCATTTAAATTTCAAACTTAATTAACACTAAATATGAGGAAAAAATTTAATAATTGTCAATCCACTAATCAGAGATAAAATTAAATTGCAAGATGATGATGATGATGGTTTTAATTAACAATTAAGAATTAACTGAAAAAGCAAGAAAAGTAAATTGCAACTCAGAATTTTAGAAAAAAAAAAGTTCCAATTTAATGATAAGAGAAAATTTTCTCGTTAGAACTTTTTTTCTCCTTCTTTTCTACCAGAACGTTACCATGGTTACCAAATGATTATAATTGTTTCAGCTCCAATGAATTCAAAGTAATAATCATCATGAATAGAGAAGAAAAAAAGTTATCAAAATCATGAGATATTTTTTTTCCTTCTTACATTTGGTTAATTCTGATAAGTATTCAAGCAAGTACATGGTAATTCTGATAAATAATATTCTGATAAGATATTTTCATGGGAACTATTTCCATAACAAATCAGAGTTAATTTCCCCTAAAACCTTAATATCTCTGGACGATTTTAACTAATCATGATGATTATCATGATACATGAAGGGGAAAATCAGGAAGTTAATTGTTGATGAATTTTTTTTTTCTTCTTCTATTTCAATTTCAATTTGATTCAGTTACATGTTCTTGTATTTAGATAACAACCTTGAGTGACAATTAATCAGTTAATTTTGTTTTTTGCTCATCATGTTAATCAATTGTTAATCTTGCGATTCTAATTATAATTAACAGTTTTATAAATACTAGTAAATGAAATCTATTCACAATTAACTGATTGCAATTTGGTTTTAATTACGACCTTTGGGTTAAATTGTGAGATAATTGTTCAGTCACGAATATAATTAAATCTAACTTTTCAATTGATAATTATGCAATTAACGGTGAATTAACTTTGATTATCATTGATAATTTATATTGACAATTTAGATGATGATTAATTGTAATGATTTGATAAGCAAAAATTTAAACTATTAATTGTTAACCTTTTTTTTGTGTGTGTACGTTTTTAAATTTGATTGGTAGTTGATTAAAATTTGATTTTTATCCTTTAATTGTTATAATAATTAACAATTATGGTCAAGATGAAAAATAATTAATCTCAAACAATGTTAACACTTAAATTGTTTCAATTAATTTCTCTGGGTATTCAATTAACTTTGCCTATTACGTTAATTGTTGCATATTCAACGGGAAGATGAAGTTAATTGTTTTAATCTTAATTGTGAATATGCTCTTAAGATAATATTTACTATTTATATAATTGATTTGATTCTTAAATGAATACTTAATTAATTAGATGAGTTATTTTTTAAATATGTATATTAAATTGTGTAACAATTAAGGAGTTAATTGTTTAGTTGAAAATTAATTGAATTATATTTTCGTTGCCTCATTGATGAGCTTCATTGGTGTTTAGAGGGATTTTAATTGTTGGCTAATCATTTTTGCTGTTGTCGTCACCATCATGATCAACTTAAATTGTTTGAACTGTATTCAATTCATATCCTTAATTTGATTAGGACAATCAGATACAAAATCAAAACAATTTATCCTCAGGCTAATTCATAATCAATTTGATTGTGAAAATGAACCTCTAAACACAATCAAATTAAATTCAACAGGAGTCATGATTAGGACTAATTGTAATCAACCAATGATGCTGATGACGGTGGTGATGCGTTTTGATTGTGACCTTTAACCATGAGCGTTTAATGATTAAATTGATAACTAAACCATCGCAGTGAAAATTAAATTTGATTCATTTACCAAAAAGTTGTTGCTGAAAATTGAAATTGAAAGGATAACAAAGAGAGAGAGAGAGAGAGAGAGAGAGAGAGAGAGAGAGAGAGATGAAATTTTGATTACTTTTGGGTTTGATAAAAAAAGTAAGTTGGTTTTATTGGAGAAAAGGAAAACGGAAACGGAAATGATGCAAAAATAAGTTGAACCATATATTGGATACTAATCACTTACCATACCAGACCCAAGTGTTTGAAGGAGACTTGAAGGTGTTGTTGAATTTGATCCTTGATTGAAAACGGCTGCAGTTGAATAACGTCTACCACCCACCGGTGATGGAGATGAATGGTTTGGACTTCGATTGGTATTGGATAAACTTGGAATGAAAAAATCAATCCCCTGGGAAGGCTATTAAATATTGATTAGAATTTGATAAGGAAACAATTAGCTAATGATGATTCTTTTTTTTCCTGCTTTTGAACAGATAAACTCAATAATGGAAACGTAATTTACTTTGAAACTGTAAGCCGAAAAAATTGAATTGTGGTTATATTTGGGATCATTTGGATTCGCACTTGAATGCCGACGAAAATGAAGATTGGCAAAACTGGTTCGACGTGACATTGAACCCGAACCCGTTGGACTGGAGGGAGCAACAAATATCCTTGGTGGTTGAATGGTGTTGTCTGAATGTCGACGACCAGGTAGGTTACCCTGAACCTGAAGAAGATTAATATCGGGACTCGAGGCACCCGAAGAGGTCGTTCTTCTGACCACATCATCAACCGAAATTGAGGTTCGTCGGTTTTCCAGTCTAAGGCATGGAGGTCGATGTGGATAACCAATGGGCTGATCTAAGTTACGATGAAGTTGCATTCTTCTGGGACAATTAACAGATTAGTTGGTTAATTAATGTAAGAAAGCAAAAAAATTCAACCAATCAAACAAACTATCAATGAATAAGTTTCAAACCGTTAACCTCCTTGAGTAGATTTAATCATTTACCTTGATTAACAAACCGATTGATGTATTAACATGTTTAATTGATCTAATCACTTATCATTAATTGGCAATCTCACAAGGATTAAGTGTCTAATGATAACTATTATAATAAATGATCAAATGATTATCATTTTAATCAAGGTAAAAACTATTGACCAGCAAAAGAAAATCCAAAATCTATTTACTTAAGATTAACCATTTCATTTGTTGTATTATAATTAAATCTAATCCAGTGAAACATAATCGATAACAATTGAGGTAAACGATTGATTTGAAAAATGATTTGATTGATGAAGAGGAAACAATCAGTTAATTGTAAACTTACCCATCAGTTGATGGCATTGATAATCGTTCAAGTTTCAGTTTGTTACGTTGATTACGAGCGACATGTTCCAACATCTCTTGTAACAATTTAACTAACAATGAGAACTGATCAAGGATAAGAAATTAATTTTCCATGGTGATTAATCAACGAGGTGGGTTAACTTACCTCTTCAAGTTTAAGAGTGGGTGAAACCACCACCGGGGTCAAGGAGGGTAATACTTTGGTTGCTAGTAAGTTAACTGTTAAACCATAACGTTTGTCACTCATCATCCTCTTATAAATACCTGGTTGATTAATTAATAATTAATGAGACCAATGAGTGAGATTATTTTTTCAATTAACTTCAACAACAACAATTGGGAGGAAAGGGAAAGTTTAATTTACAATTAACCCAAAAATTTAAAGGCAATTTAATAATCTGATAACTATTAAATTGTGTAACTTATTTTTCCTCCTTCTTCTGTTGATGATTAATTTTGATTAAGTAATTAAAATTCAACATCAATAGTTAATTATCAAGTTTAATTACTGTTATTTAATGATGAGCAGAGAGAGAGAGAGAGAGAGAGATGAAGAAATGAAAAAATTTCCTTCTCAAATTAAGGATTAACTTAATTCGTTGTGAGAGAGAAAGGAGATTAAGTCTGATAATCAATAAATTGAATTCACAGGAAGGTGGGAGTTGGACTGAGATTTCATGCTGAGTGGAATGAGGAGAGATTATCTTTGATTATAAGTTTCATAGGGATGGATTATCATGGCTGTGGGTGAATTGGAATTGATTGATAATAAATTGAACTTTGTGAGAGTGAAACAAATTAAGACGAGAGAAAACTTTTTTTTTCATGTTAATCAGAATTCATTGGAATTAAAGGAAATAAATTTTCGCCATGAAATTGAACAAGCTTATCGAATGATTTAGGATAAGGGTGAAGTTTAATTTTCCACCCTCATGAATTATCGGTACTCTTGAACCAAAAAAAGCTCAAGTATTAATAGATTGAGAAGTTTAAAAGTTCTGAACAATTTTTCATCTTCATTTTCTTATGAAAGTCTTTTCAAAGTTCATATTCAGTTTTTAAATTTAGTTTTTCCTTTTCTCTGAGATTAGATTCTAGAAACTGATAATTATCATGATAATTAGAGAGAGAGAGAGAGATGACTGAGTGGATAAAAATAATCTTTATCATTTTATTATTCAATTGATTCGATTAAACTTCCGGAACACTCAGAACTACATCATGAATTGGAATGACGTAGAAATAGACAAACAATATTCATTTGAATTGGAAAATTCAATTTCTATTCCTTTCTCAATAGAAGTAAAAAAGTTCAATAGGAAGTGTATTTAGTGATGGAAGCTTCAAATTACCTCCTCATCAAAATTTATCATCATGTTCAACTGGTTCATCTAAATGATGATGATGAGTTAACAAGGAAAAATTGTCAACAAGCTCTTCAGGAATCATCATCATTACAATTATGTGAATAGATTGACAGAATTTAGAGTTAAAATGAGAAAAGAAATACTCTGATTCAAAAAGAACCATGTTAAGATACAAAGAAAAGAATTACAATGAACAAATATTCAGAATAAAGTCTCCAGAGTCTTGACCTAACATCTCAAAGTATTAGAACATTTTTTTTACTTTTCTTTCCCTGTGATTCCTCTCGAAGTTGACCTTTTAGAACCAATAACTTTGGTACAAGGAGGGAAACTTGGAGTGTTATTTCAACATTTAATAAAACTGATTCTAATGAGAGACTCAAGAGAAAGTTAAAGGATCGAATAATATTAATAATGTTATCATCATATTATCTGATTGAGGTTAATCACTTATCGGTTTATTATCAAGGAGCAAAAGTATTTTTTTATCGAACATTTTTTTCCTTCCCTGAAAAATGCTTCATGATAACTTGTAGCTTGTTAGTTTTATCATGTTCATCATGATGCTCATCATTATCAGTTGATTTGTGGCTCATAAGGATAAGTAACCAATGATAAAGGTGAACATGTTTGTAATTGAGTTACAATGATTTTCTGTTTCAGTTCAATATATCATCAATTCAGGGTTAGAATCATTTTCTCTATCTCTCTCTTTTATCACTTTTATCACTTTTATTGTATTGGCTGGCTGAGAGATTCATGGGTTGTCATGGTAACGATAAATAGAAATTGATGGAGAAAGAAAAAAAGTCAAAAAGAAATAAATTTTTCACCAAGTAAAGGAAATCTCGATAATTTCAATGGAGAAAAATACTCACGAACTACTGGCATTAGAACCATGGGCTCAGTTAACTTTGCTTTACTTAGAATGGGCAGAACTTCATCTAGAATTTCAGTTTTCTCCAGATTATCCAGAACTCTTTCGATACAGTTAAGAGTATTGGCTTGTATCTGTAACAGTGGAAATAAAATTTAAGAGATAATTTCATATAAATAATACAATGTTTTCCATCTGAACATGATAAATGTTCATGATAACAGTTAAATCGTGATTTTCACCGTGATCATGACAGTATTTCATGAGATTAAAGGTGAGATTATTGAAGATTAAGCTTTCAATTCACTGGAATGAATAACAAGGAGATTTGATTTTCGAATAAAAAATAACGGTTTTGTAAAAATATAGAAAGAAAAAAAACAAATTCTATTCTCAAATCTTGTCACCATCATCAGAGATTAAATACTTGATCAGAATTTGTTTTTTATCTTTCTAATTTCCTGGTGATAAATCGTGTGGGCTGAGATTAAATATTAATCGTTGACAGTAGGAAGTGATATTAACACTTTGAATTGATCTTTTTAGTACGAATTACAATAAGATGAGTGGGCGAATCGGAATAGTGAGAATCTCAGTCTTACCTGAATACTGGAATTGCCTTCGAAAAAAAACTTTGCTCGAGGTAAAATTGTTTTACTGATTGTATATTGATCAAGATCATCAATTACCAAAGAGACAGCTTGAAGAGCAGCACACTAAACATGATTAGAGGGAAATTAACACAATTTCAATCAATTTAATTTAGAAAAACAAAACAAACAATCAAATTAATCTCATCAAATCTCATCAATCTATTATTTTATAAAAAGGACAAGTATGTTCATATGATGAATTAATCGATAATTGGAAAGATTTATCAATCAATGTATTGATACCATTAGAGATTAAAATTGATGAAATGTTATCGTTATGGTGGATGCTGAGCATTTACCTGAATCTGTGGTGTTGCAGAGTCGAATGCGTTATAAACCATTGGTAGGATATCGTTTTTGAAATCAGATTTTGCGGTTTTCGAGATTAAGATATCCATGCTTTCCAATAGGGTTACAGTTGCCTAAGAAGATAATTGATCAGATTAAGTGATTACATGGATTTAATTGTTATTCTCTTTTTTTTTCAATTACCTGAACGGATTTTGGCATTAAACAGATATTTCGGACTATTGGGTATATGATAGTCTGGTATTCTTCAATGGATGATTCTTCAATCATCCGAAGAAGAGGTTGAAGAGCTGCTGCCAGAACTTCTGAACTTTGGAATTCAGTCTCCATGGAAGGTAGAATATGGGTGAACCACATTTTCTAAGATGAAAAGCAATTCGAAAAAAATTTTACAACTTTAGTTAAACGATATTGAATTTGATCTACTATAATTTTCGTACATATTATTATTATTATCTTCTATTATGATGAGAATTTTAATAGCCTTCATGATGAATAAATTTCACAATCAATTGGTTCTGATGAAATTAGTTATGATTTTCACGATTTTGGTTCCTTTTTCATGACAACTTATAATTGGAATCTTCAAACTCATGTAATGATAATAATCACAATGTTATTTTGTTAATATCATGAATTTTATCAGGAAAGATTCAGGAAGTGATTTTTAAGATCAAATCAACAAATTAAAGAAAACAAGTAGAGAGAAAGAGCTAAAAATTTTATCGATGACTCTCAGGAAACTTAACCACTCGAATATAAATAATCAACTTAATCACTAATTCAGTTGAAACAATAAGTATGGAGAAAAAATTCCAAGTTCCGAAGTTATTAGAACTTTTTTTGGAGCAATTTTTTTTTCTTCTCTTAAGGTTAAGTGATGAGGATCATTACCGGATTCGCTCATTTATTTACTTCAGTTTTATACATTTGGATTGAACTGTAAATAAAAAGGCTTCCCATGTTATCTCACCTTTTAGGGTGAAAATGTCAAGTCTCTGATTCCTTATACCTTGATAAATGTGTGTCAAGTGCTGATAATAACTGAATGATAATCTTGGAATAACTATTTTTATTTCTCATCATCAAAACCCATTAAATTGTCTTAATGTCTCTATGTGATTTTTTATGTTCACACCAACTCAAAATCCTCCTCATTCATACATTATTATTTCCTAGGTATCTCTATCATACCTTGACCCTTGGTCAATCCTTAAATTAGTTACTCTTGGATAGAGTATTAAATTGTCACAATCTTATAGTAAATCTAATGTCTAGATATAAATACCTATTGATTACTTTTTTTTATCATATGTAATAATAATAACATTATCACCTACTCTAGATACTCAACTTTCCATTCATTAAATTGTATTGATTTGGAGATTTGGTCAATAATCTCAACTTGGTAATCAATTAAATCTGATAAAAGGAAATGAGATTTTTTCAGTTCATTTCATGATAATGATGATAAATTGAGATGTACGGTTATTGGAAATTGTGATAACTTTGTCCACTCATTAGCTTTAAGTCATATATTCACAGTTACCTTTGAATTTGAACTTGAACAATTCCAAGAAAATTTCTAATGTTAAATAATGAAAGAAATCAAATTCTCATGTTTCTATTGAACATTTTTCTTCATTCATCACGATTTTCTATTCATATTTTCATGTAATAACTTTTTTTTCCTCCAACCAAACTCCATGAAATGAACAGCATTAAAGGAGAGTTCCAAGATTACGAATACACTATCCAGTAGATATTAAATTAATCTCAACTATTAATAAACATTTAGTTCTGACACATTATAAATCCTGAGGTTTTATGTAAACCAAAATGTTCAGTGGGAGGTAATAAGTATCGAGAATAATTTATCAAATGAAAATGAAACATTTTCCATTGGAAATATGAATATTTATTCATTGGTTTAAAAGAAAAAAAAATATTGAGTAGGAGTTGTTGCTCATTCTTATGGTCAGCATTTAGTGGTCAAGCAATGAAAATCTCTTACCTTGGGTATACTTGGAAGTATCTCTTTTAGATTAAAATAAAAGGTTGACTTATGAGTTGAATCTTTCATCTGGATTACATCGAGGTACTGGAGAGCATGAATACATGGATCCATAAGGTATTTAACCTAATTGTTTGTTCAATGAATTATAATATAACATAAATACGTTTAGATTAGTTTGGTTTGTTTAATTAAATGATTAACGGTCAATAATCAATATTTATATTTTTTTTTCTTTCTCAAATATCATGTAAGGGATACAAATTCTTACCATTGAAAATGCTTGTGAGGTGGGACGTCGACGTGGCTCGAAATCTAATAAACCCTGAACCGGAAGGGAAAGGTCAGTGGGAAGGTTTTCCAATATCGAAACAGCATTTCGACTTAACTGACCAATGGTTTAAAGGTAAAGAACAGAATATTAATTATTAATTGTTCAAGTATCCATCATAAGCTAATCAAACATTTTGGTGGTCACGATAATCTCACTTGATTAAACTTTCTAGATTCAATTAAAGGTTACGTAAAGATTATGGATCTACTTTTGTGTTAATTGATTTTGATTTGAATTTTTTGTTAACCAATTGTAATTGTGATTAACTTGATTATATTAAATGCTACTACTATCTAATTTATTTGCTATCATTATGTTTACAATTAACTCAGCAAGAGTCAAGTTGATTGTGTTTCAAGAGAGTGATTCATATTATCATAAACTTTTGAAGGTAAAACTTTCCAAACAATTTACATTTGTATTAACTCAAATATTTAAACTGATTTTGTTCATTATAATGAAAACTTTCAAGTATTAAATTGTTGTTATGTTAAAATGAGTAGAAGACTGAAAATGAAAATCTGAATCAGGCTGAGAAACTTTGAGTTACATGGTAAATGAACAGGAGTTTTGACAGTTTCCATGAAATTCAGTTGTCATTCTTTAAATTTTCACCCTTTTCTTTTTGCAACATTTTTCTTATATTACCTGAGAAATACTTGAAATTTTATCTAAAGGTAAGTTTTTCCTCTACTTCTCAAATGATCATTATCAGATATGCATGAAATTACTAATCAATCAGATCACCAAAGTGACAAGGTGGTGATTCGTGTTCGAAGAGTGGAAACTTTTGTAACAGAATTACAAGAGGAAATCTTATCGTTCCAAGTGATTCTGATTTTTCTACAAGTGATATGATAGTAAAAAAATGTCACCATGGTAAGAAAAGTTCATCAAGTTATCAGAGATTTGGTATAAACATGATGCTAATAGTGACACATTGATCCCACCCTGAGCAACAAAGGTACAACAACAACAACAACAATCAACTTGATCATAATGATAGCATGAAAGTTACTTAAGCTTAACCAGTAAAGACAATTTATCAATCATCTAACCTTTCGAGTGTAACTTTAATTATATCGAAAAGTAAGTGAACAGTTTACTAATAGATGAATGAGAAAGGAGTAGAAAGGCAAAAGAAATTTTCAGCTATTGAGAAACGAAAAAAAAAGTTCAACTTACCAGTTCGATTTTACGATTATATTGGACAAGAGAGAGGTTCGATTCGATTGGTGATCGACCCTTATTGTACAGTGTGCATATAAGTATTCCAAGAGAAAACATATCACTCAAGGGACTACAACATGATTGATTTTGAACTTCGGGTGCCGTGAAATCGAGATCAGGTTGAGCCGATTTTGGTAATTTACTGGTAAACGGTTGACACGATATCGGCATCTAAATAATAGTGAACAATATTACTTTTAATATTTAAATTTCTATCAAGTTATTTCAATGGGAATACCATGATATCATTATCAGCACATCTCTCAGTGAATTCAAATCCAGCCAATTTCCAGGTCCCTTTTCTATTGATTATCACAGATTGTGGGCAAATGTTTCGGTGAATTATTTTACAAGAATAGTGTAAGAATAACAGAGCTTCCGCAAGCTATTAGAAAGACAATTAATCCAACAATTAGTAAATTATCATCTGAAACAAAGGCAATAATTAAGGAGATCAAACAATCAACGATCAAACGTTTTCAAAGGTAAAAAAGTAATTAGTTGTAACCCATTAGTGGTAAATTTTCATCTCTGTTAATTGTTTCTTAATTGACCGGAAATAATTAAGTGATTAAAGTTGAGCTAAATATAATTAAATCTAATGGATAATTTTCATGATGATGGTTATTGTTTGATGGAACTGATTTTGGTAGTTCTTGATCAGAACTTATTATTTTTTTTTACTTGAATTTAATTTCTTATTCTTATAATCATCTTGATAATTTACTTTTAAGTGGTGATTAGTAATGATGATTTGGTAACGATGAGGAATATTTATTTTAATAATCATGAAATGGTTACAATTATGTTAACCATGATCATGGTAAGTTCACATTTCCTTATATTATTACAAATTCAATAGTGCTAATAACAATCTTTGAATGTTCTGATCATTAAAATTCAGAACTTTTCTCTTGTATTCAATAACTAGTTTAGATAAATTCTGCAAAAAAAGTATACATTATATCATCTGGATTTCATGATAAATTGCCATTCAAATTCTGATTATTTGTAGAACAGTTTAAAGTGATTATTTTCTGATCAAAATAGTTATTCAATCAGTATATTAACAATATCTCTAAATTATTCTGATCAACTATTGGAAACTTAATTTAACTTTACGATCATCAAGTTTCTAAAACTTCAGTCAATTTTGCTAGAAAATATAAGGAAACTTCTCGAGAGAGAGAGAGAGTTTGTAAAGTTCAAAATCTACATGATAACATAATGATAATCATTTGATATTATCGAGATTAACCTGATCGAGGTGAGATTTTTACGTGAATGAATTAGTGAAATATGAATTTTGATCTTGTCGATTTTTGATCCAAAAAGTTTGACTCTTGTGATCAAGTTAACATATTCTTGACGTGGATCATTTTAATTTTGCTTTGAATCAGCTCAGCTGAATAACAGGCTAATAAGAGCTGAGGATTTCATAGTTTATTAACTTCATAAATGAATTTGATATTTCAGTTAAGCTTTGGAGGTCAATCAATCATTACACTTTTATCAGGTTAGTATCATGAAATTTAGTTATTGTTTTTTTAGTTGAGAAATTTTCTGTTTTTTCAATAATAAGGATAAAAAAAAGTTTCATGATTATTTTTCTGCTCTGGTTGGTTTCCTACCTTCAGGGTATAAAGGTGATTACATTGAACTTTTTGAATTTAACCTTAAACCAGGAATTTATTTCTTCTGATATATCTTGATATAAGTGATACAATTTATTGATTGTTGGATTTGTTTTTTCCTCCTCATAATATTCAACCATTTGTTACAATGTTACTGATTAAATTGTTCAGCTCATTTAAATTCATTTTACAATTCTTTCTATCATATTACAACTAACCCTCTCTCTATCTTCATGATAAAATGCTATGTTTAGGAAAGTAATTATATGACAATTTCCTTGATATTTAATACCAAAGGTGGAAAGGGAGTGTTAATGAATCTTGTTAATTGTTCAACACCAGGAATCAGATTAAATCGGTAAACAAACAGAATGAGAAGGAAAAAAGGAAAAAATCAACACGATTTCATGGTAAATGGGAAAAAAAGATGAAGGTTTTTCGGATGTTATTATGTTACTTTGGTAAACATCATGATAACATTTACTTTTATTATTGGTAATGGATTTTTGCTCATCATCATTATCATCACTTCATTCAACCATACAGATAGAATTTGAAGAATCTAAATGAACTGAGGAAAGTAATGATGATAAAGATGATTAAAGAGTGGGTGAGTTTCTTCCGGAATCAATTTATTGAGTTTCCAAATATATATGAGATAAGGTGAGATTCAGATATCAGGTTATTTCATGATGACGATAGTAAATATTAATATTAGAATGATTTGAAATCAAAGTGATGATGAAGATTCATTTTCTAATTTATCTAAATGATGGATCATTATTATTACATGTATCATGAATTTCAAGATCTTGTTACATTTGAATTTGCTACTGAATCAAAATTGATGATGAGGCTTTTCAGGATAATTGTCTCACTATTATTAGTATTCAATTTATCATCTAATTACTTGTATATTGTTTATCCAACTAACAAATTCATTGATTGAGTATGAAATTGTGTACACTGATTAATAAATATCATGAAATTCATGATGTTTATCAAAATAATGATTACTTTGGGTTACACAGTTTATTGTAATACATGATGTGTACATGGTTTTCATATTGACAACATAATATTTTCCTCATCATAACAATAACGATAATTTATTTATTTACAGCTTAGGATTTGGTCAATGGTGATGATATTTATCGTATGTTCAATTTGTTGATATATCAGGAATGAATCATCATGCTGATTATCAGGGATTATCATTATCATGGGGAATCCATGAAAGATAACAAGGAGTGAGAATACATTTTTAGGATAGCAACAAGTGATAGAGAGAGAGAGAGATGAAGTTCTGTCTATATGGAAGATGAATAAGATACAGAATTTCAAAGATTGGTTATCGATCCATGATGAAAGAGACAGAGATAATAATGATGGGAATAAGAAAGAGTATAAAATAGAGAAAGGAAATACATTCAAAGTAAGAGGTCAGAAAAAAGTTCTGCATCCTCATTATCATCATCATTACCTTTCAGAATAAAAATCATGGTTCGATAGTTTCTTTCTCATCCTCATCATCTTTTCTCCATGTTTATCTGTGTTTCACTCGATAAATTAATTTATGAGTAACTCCAACTGTGTGAGAGAAGCTCAATGATGAATCAATGGGAATACTGATCATCACTTTGTTTTTGAGATACATTGGAGGTAAATTCAATCGAGAGAGAAAAAGAGATGAAGATAAAATTACCTCAATTGTTTATCATTTAATGAAAAGGTTAATTATCTCCATGTTATTATTAATTTACGATGAATGATTGATTTAACGGTTATCATTCAGTTCTATGAAAATCATGGAAGACTGAGACTGAAATGAGTAACGAGTTGATGAAGATCGTTGATTATCTTGTGAGATATTCAAATGATGATGATAATATTAGTTTAGATTTATAATGATATTTATGTTAGAACGAGATGATTCTGAAATTCTGATTCTTTAACTATGGAGAAGATTCTGAGAAAAACATTAACAATAATTTGAAAATCACTTATAGAGAGTCGATCGATACATCGATCCAGGTAAAACTCATCCTTATCATCACTATCACCATCTTCCCCCTCTCTCTCTCTCTATCATCATGAGAGAGAGAAAAAGAAATTCATTGAGATTCAGTAAAGTTCAAGCTTATCGAGTTTCTCAACTCATGTTGTGAACATCAAGGAAAAAGATAAAAGAGAGAAAGAAAATCTCATATGATGATTTGATTTTTTTCCCTCCAACAACAACCATGATCATCATCATCTTCATCTGAATAAAAGTTAAGGTGAGAAGTAAAAAAAGTTCTGGTAAATATCTTTAGTTACAATTCTGACTCTTTATTATCATTCATGTACTTATTCATATTTCTCTGCATGCATCATCATTTATGTAATGATAATATGAAACAGTTTTGTTCCTATTCAGTAGTTAATGTTAATTCAGTTTCTGGTACATGAAAGGTAAAGTTTAGCTAAAAGGTTTTCATTGATTGAACAATCGTCAACGAGATGAATGATAAAATGTACTATCATGTAGTATGATTTGTATTAATATAAAGCTAAATCCATTGCAATGTTTATTTGAGGTGGAGAGTGAAAAAAAAACATTCAACCCTGAATTTGGAAGCTTGAAAGCTTGAGGGTAAATTTCATGATAAAGATTGAATCATATTTATGGTACATTGAATATAATCATTTGCTTGTTAACATTTTTATCATGATTGACTTTCAGGAATTGAAATGAATGGAGAGATGGAGGAAGAGAGAAAAAGAAAACAAAATGATTAATAACATGGAAAATTTGGTTACACAAATTCTGATTGTTCATGGAGTGAAATTTGGAATCATCATGAGTCATGATACAGAATACGAATTATTATTATTATTAATTAGAACCAACAAATCGATAATTTTATCATTAAAAGTATATTTTTTTTTCATTTCCAGGAGATAATTTAAATGAAACAAAAAATGTTAATGAAATTATAACTTGATAGAAATACAATATTGATATAATTCAATTATTTTTACAACTTAATCCAGTTAATATTTCCATAAATGAATCAATATTAATCCTTGTTTTCTTTAACAAATATTGTCAAACATAATTAGATAAGTTAAATCAGTTCTCTCAGGTAAATTTCACCGATTCAATTTGTTTCAAAAAGTAAGAATCATCATCATCATTATATTATTATAATATAATTGAAATCCACTAGATTTACATGTTAACCTTTGCTCATGATGATTAAACTGAACTTAAATGGTAAAAGAATCAATAACCTAAGGTTAATTTGGAGAAAAAGTCACCATGAACATTTCAACAACTGAATTTGCAGTAATATCATGAAATTCAGCATCAGATTAAATCAAATGGTTGATTGGAAGGTTGAATTTAGTTGTTGACAAGTCAATAAGATAAACATTAATTGATGTATTGATTTTAGTGGATAACATTCAATTGGATTATGATTATCATGATAATTGGTATGGACTCGATGTTAAGGATTTTATTTGATAACAAATTTAGACAGTTATCAAAGGAGAAAGGGAAAGTTTCAAGGTATTCATGGATATGATAAACAAATGAGAGATGATAAAAAATAACAATAATATTTGTTATTTATGGTTGATAATAAAAACAAATTTCTACTCTGAATGGAAAAGTAAACAGCATTTTGATGTTTTTATTTACATTGAAAGTAAACATCTCGGATTGAATAATATGTTGTCGTTTTTTTCTTGTTACATTTGAGAA